GTTCGCCGATGGTGTTGGACTTCCTCAGTTATCACTGCTCACCTGAAGGACAGTACGACCGGCCAGCTGGCCCTTGGCCATCTTGTCGACCCATGAGTCCAAGTCCTCCAATTTACCCTTGGTCAGAACAGGCTATCCACAGTCAGCACAATGAACTCTAGACAAAAGACCACAGCAATACTCACATGTACGATGCCTCTTGCAGTAAATTCAAGCGCCTCCTGCGTGTCCTGCAGAGTACCAGTTATGGACCCCACGATGTTCAGCTTCTTGAGTGCTATCATCAACGGGGGAGCACCAGCCAAGATAGTAGGGTCGTTGGGCAACCCGATAGCCACCATCGTGCCATTTGGCCGAAGATAGCCCGGTGCCGCCGCATAAACAGCCTTCGTGGCCGCCGTCACAATAATGCCATGAGCACCATACTTAGTGACTTTCATGACCTCGGCGGCCACATCGGGAGTCTGCTGGAAATCAATGAACACCTCTGCCCCAAGCCGCTGGCACAGCTCGCGCTTCTCCTCCCCACTATCAATAGCAATGATCCTCATGCCCATGGCTCGCGCAAACTGAATAGCCAAGTGACCAAGCCCACCACCAGCACCGGGCAGGACAATCCACTGGCCAGCCTTGACATTCGACCTGAAACATTATTTCATCAGCTCAAGCCCTCACCCACATCCGACCCTCATCGGGGGAAAATAATACTAACCTCTTACAAGCCACATAAACCGTCAACCCGCCACACATCATCGGTCCAGCCTCTTCATCACTCACCCCATCCGGAATCCTCGACGCATACCGTCCATCGGCAAGACAATATTCTTGAAACGTGCCGGGCATGGTAAACCCACTATTCTTCTGATTGATACAATTCACCTCATCCGTCCCCGTCAAACAGAAGTCACACTCCCCACACACGCTCGCAATCCACTTAATCCCCGCTCGGTCACCGATCTTCCATCGCGTCTCCATCCCCTCGCCCACAGCAACCACTCTCCCGACTCCTTCGTGGCCGGCAATCCCCTTGGCCTCGGGCTGCATACTTACCCCGAATGCTGCCCAGTCGTCGTGCAGGAGGCCCTTGTCGGAGCCGCAGAGACCCGTCCAGGTGATTTTCACGAGGATTTGGCCTGGGTTGGGTCTCTCAACGGGGATGGTTTCGATGGTGGTTGTGGCGGCGGGACCGGTGCCTTGCCGGATGGCGGCGCGTTGGTGGCTAGGAAGGGAGGTGGTGGTGGGTTCGGTGATGGTCATGGTGAATTAGTGGTGATTGATTTAGTTGAGGGTGTATTATTCCTCTGATTGAGTGGGTATCGGCCAGGTGGAATGGACGATATGTGGTAGATGAAGGCTCCTTTACTCAGGGGAAAAGAGAAGAGAAGGAGGGGGAGGAGTAAATAGATAGAAGGGGAGAGGGGTACCTTGCTTTAAAATGGATGAATGGATGGATGCCATCTTTGGAGCTGCTTCATAGCTCCTCTCGATTTGTTCCTGCAACACCCCCTCTTTGTATCCCCGCACGTCACACGTGATGGTTCGTTTCTTGTGCAATATGGCCCCTATGCTTTTGAGCTACGTTTCCTATGGTTGTATGTTACTAGGGGAGATACACGTTGCAGCTGCTGCATCTAGTTCTAGCTGCGTAGTATTACCGCTTTAGGTGTTTCAGCTATTATGGATGCAATGCACGATGATGTTTCTGGGGGAATCTCGACGTTAGTATAGTTTTCTATTGAAGATTGTTGTGAGAAAGTTTAAGATTGAAAGTTAGATACAAATTATTCACGAGTTTAAGGCCTGGATCATGATTTACGTTGAGCGAGAAGCAGAGATAGTATGCATTCCAAATGCTGTTACTGCCATTTATTGTTACACAACGCCCGCCAATCTGTTCATACGTGCTCTTTTATCTTGACCCTTGCAGATCTACATCATAGTAGCATGCCATATAGATCGACTATTGCAGTTCCCCGCTTGTAGTGGATTATATCATTGGTCATTCTGTGTTTGCTTCGATATTTTTCTTCCTCCTTGCTATGGGAATATCAATAGTTGTAGTAGTTGTTGTTGTTCCAAGAAAGGTTGCTTGCAGTGTGGTATGCGGCCAAGTAACTCAACTACTGTAGAAGGAGATGGTATGTAGTGAAGGAAAACCTCGATGAAGTGCACATGTGTAGAAGGTAAGCGGAATAAAGTCTAGCCATCCTTCATTATTTCCCTATCCAAGGTATAGTATGCTAGCCATGCACACTAAGAGCAGTCTAGTCTCCCTGCAGCAATCATCATATGATTGAAGTTTTCGTTTTGCAAAGCCCGCTCATTCGAGTCTAGGGATTTGATCATATCAAGCCCCTCACTTTACTGTCCAATTGTCTTATGGAGATGCAATATTAGCTATCTATTCGCGGCTGCAAGTGCGGGGTATAGTGACATCCGTGACGTGGGTTAGCGTCTCAGCGTCAGTCTATTCTTTTTCTAATAGGATATCTAGGAAATGGCATACTTTGCCACTATGGTTGTCATGACTTGGAAGCTGCAGGTCTGTAGGCTAACAGGGAGAATAGTGGGCCATGGCCCGGTAAGCTGCATACATAGTGTCGGTCTTCGGTGTACCCGAAGTTTAGCCGTATGAATGGTCTGCTGCTCATTTGCTCGAGGCCTCGGGATAATGACTGGCGAGCCGAGGCATTTGGTTGCCTTAGTCAGTTCATGCTTTTGTTGCGCGCTCAGGCAAGTGGTGTGGACATCCGCTTCTAGGATTTCTTGTTTCGTCTGCACTTCAATTCCAGGTTTATCTGTTGCGTTTGGGAATAGCATCTGGTTACATAGGACCAGGCGAACAAGGTACCCGATCCTAGAGAATCAAGATCTTGAATTTAAGCTTATCGGTGAGCTCTATTCTAAGGTTTCTGAAAGTGGAGCTGACGCGACCAACGGCTCGTGGTAGGTAAGCGGAGAATAATACCTGTCAAGCATCTCGCTTTCGAGTACCTTGGGTGCTTTGGGTAGCACGTGTTTTGAGTGCAGGATATTCCCGAAACCTACTAATACAGGGCATTTTAGTGGCTAGTTTGTCCGATGAAGCAACGGTGTCAAATGGGATAGTATTACTAGATGGGCTCACGTTCAGGGCTGCTTATTGCCAGAACAGTGTATCCTGTGGTCATACGTGAGGGCAGAGCAGAGATATGATTGGTATAGACGTTCAATATCCAAGGCGCTCTGTTGCCTCCTCACGATGTAGCATCTTTCAATGGCTCGAAATTCACATTCCCCGGCCGAGAGTATCATCACGCAGGAAGCTACTTGTGTGTTGAGAAGCAAGCAACAGTGAGTTGAGTGTCCGCTCCTGTGAGAGGTGCCCTCACACACGGGACAGACTGAAGAGTTGGAGGCTGACTACTTCAGATGATAGATTCATGGGTATTGCCAGTTGGCGTGTTCAGGTGATCTAATTAATTCCACTTGCGTTTCTCGCTTCGAGGATGTCAAGCTTAGGGTGGATACTACGATGTCAAGGCTGAAAGAATCATGCTTCTTAGAGGCTCATGCTTGATGCTTGGATGTGACTGTAGTAGAATCTGGTCAAAAACATCAAGGGGTTAAGGCATCGTGATTATATGTAGAATGGCCTTGCAGTCGTTTGCTGCTTGACAGGCAGTAATATGGTATCGGCTTAAGATTGAGCCGCTTGGAGACTCCCACCTGGTGAACAAACATCCGCAGTAGCTTAACTAAGCCACCTCCAACATTAAGTCATCCGGTGGCTGGTATGGTATTTTATTGTGTGCGGAGCTCAACGAGTCGTCGAGGTCGGTATGTCCAGGAAGCAAGCCAGTCAGCCGGAAGTTTAGAAGGACGAGCAGACAGTCCTCAAAGACGGAGCTCGTTCAATAGGCCGAACAATTCCTCTTGTTTGAATAGACTCCGGGCGATGGTCGGAGATATTTACGCAAACACGCAAGAGCATGCATCGCTAGTTGGCCTGGACCGTCGGGTAAATTTATTAAAGTTCAGACAGGTAGAAACTGTGTTGTTTGCTTGAATTTGCATGTCCTACTATTCTACCTTTGGGGTGTGCACGTCCTCGGATGCAGATGTATACGAAAGTTGTTCCTCCAGTCACATCTGGTGGCATGATTCCGGTTGGCAGGCGGCGAAGGATTCCGTCATAGAGCTAGTGGGAGGATGACTGACTAGAAATCCAGACAGGTCAGTGATTGCAATATCCACTACGGACAAGAAACCAAGATTTCTCCGGTGGCACCCCGCAGGTCAGCCATCCGGAAGCTTAGGCTGTTTGGGCTTCGGCTCCAGGGTCCTCCCGCGGTGGGCACCACGAAAGAAAACACACAACTATGGGAAAGCCAGCAGACAGCTGATCGTCAGGAGGGATGGAGCATACCTTGAAGTGTTCCTGCATGAAGATAGTCACTGTTCCTTGAAAGACCAGCAGATAGAGGAGGGATAGATGGGCAAGTTGCAGACGAGAGGAGGGGAGCGGGAGAGGAAGTAGAGAAGCAATTAGCCGGCGCGGGAGAGCCAGTGCGGAGAAATTGGGCCAGACTAACCGGATGAGGCACCGTCCCTGTGGAGGATCGTCATTCCAGTTGCCTGCTTCACTTTGCAATTCCACTATTTCCTGCGAGCTTGCTTGAGCATCGTGGCCCTGTTCGGACCCTGCCCGCTGCGCTATGCCCAACTAACATCATGCTAGATACTTGAGGCCACCCATTGACACTGCAGGTCCCACTTCCCCTCCCTACATGATGATGTCGATATTGCGAGGATCAGACTCGTGGCTCGGCTAGGATGTCAACAGCTCCGTACATTATTCAGCGTCGGGAGGGACATTGAGGGGTTGGAATGAGGCAAATAAAGTGGCTCAATTCCCCGGGGCCTGCTGGCATGTTGCTCCCCTGAGCTCTCGCGGAATTTGACAATCTCCCGTGCCTTCGACCCATTGGCGTTTACTTTCGCCCCGGGTGTGTTGCATCATGAAGCTTTCCTCCGCTTGTGCTATTGCCTTGCTGGCTGCACAGGCTGCTGGGGCATCTATTAAGCATCGAATCAATGGCTTTACCCTTACTGAGCATTCTGACCCGGCAAAGCGGGAACTGTTGCAGAAATACGTATGATCTTCCAACGGAAGGCAGCGCTTCTAGCAACTGACATGGTGCCTACTAGGTCACTTGGGATGACAAATCTCTCTTTATCAATGGCGAAAGAATTATGATCTTCAGTGGCGAATTCCACCCATTCCGGTACTACTGCCCTTCCTTCTAGCTATACTCGTGTTGACTCGAGGGTTTCTTGCTGTTCTAGTCTACCAGTAAAAGAACTCCAGCTTGACATCTTCCAAAAGGTCAAAGCTCTAGGATTCAACTGCGTATCCTTTTATGTCGACTGGGCCCTTGTTGAAGGAAAGCCGGGGGAATACCGAGCAGACGGCATCTTTGATTTGGAGCCTTTCTTCGACGCGGCTTCGGAAGCAGGTATCTATCTGCTTGCCCGTCCAGGCCCGTACATCAACGCAGAGAGCTCCGGCGGTGGATTTCCGGGGTGGTTGCAGAGAGTCAATGGCACTCTTCGCTCAAGCGACAAGGCTTACCTGGATGCTACTGATAAGTATGCCAAGACTCACCCAGGAGGCCTATGACTCCTGCTGACTCTTCACAGCTACGTTTCTCACGTTGCTGCAACAATTGCCAAATACCAAATCACTAATGGCGGTCCGATCATCCTGTATCAGCCCGAAAATGAGTACACCAGTGGCTGCTGCGGTGTCGAGTTCCCTGATCCAGTGTACATGCAATATGTTGAAGACCAGGCTCGTAACGCCGGCGTCGTCATTCCATTGATCAATAACGATGCCTCGGCTTCCGGGAACAATGCTCCTGGCACTGGAAAGGGAGCAGTCGATATCTACGGCCATGATAGCTACCCGTGAGTCTACCACGCCCATAACTTTGAACACTGGCTGACAATCATAGGCTTGGATTTGACTGCGTATGTTTACTCTCGGGTCTCGGTGTGCTTGCAGCTAATCTTTCCAGGCGAACCCTACGGTATGGCCCTCGGGTGACCTACCTACCAATTTCCGTACCCTTCATCTTGAGCAAAGCCCGACGACACCATATGCGATAGTCGAGGTTAGTATACGTTCCCTAGCTAGCATTTCGAGTCTAACACCTCGCAGTTCCAAGGTGGTTCGTACGATCCTTGGGGAGGACCGGGATTCGCTGCGTGCTCCGAACTCCTGAACAATGAGTTCGAGAGAGTGTTCTATAAGAACGACTTTAGCTTCCAGATCGCCATTATGAACCTGTACATGGTACGTATTTCAAAAACTTACGCTAGTATATTGCTAATCCGTGTAGATCTTTGGTGGAACTAACTGGGGTAATCTCGGTTATCCTAACGGATACACCTCTTACGACTATGGCTCGGCTGTGACAGAATCTCGCAACATCACCCGCGAGAAATACAGTGAACTTAAGCTTCTTGGCAACTTTGCCAAAGTATCTCCAGGTTATTTGACGGCTAGTCCTGGAAATCTGACAACTTCCGGTTACGCTGATACCGCAGACCTGACTGTAACACCTTTGCTCGGAAACAGTACTGGCTCTTTCTTCGTGGTCAGACATTCGGACTACAGCAGCGAAGAGTCAACATCATACAAGCTTCGTCTTCCTACCAGTGCCGGTAGCGTGACTATCCCTCAGCTTGGTGGTACGCTCACACTTAATGGGCGCGATTCAAAGATACACGTGACCGACTACAATGTCTCTGGAACTAATATCATCTACTCCACGGCCGAGGTCTTTACCTGGAAGAAGTTCGCTGACGGAAAGGTCCTCGTGCTCTACGGAGGTGCCGGTGAGCACCACGAACTTGCCATTTCAACCAAGTCGAATGTCACGGTGATCGAAGGATCCGAGTCTGGTATCTCGTCAAAGCAGACCTCTTCGTCAGTTGTGGTCGGCTGGGATGTGTCGACCACTCGCCGTATCATCCAAGTTGGGGACCTGAAAGTTCTTCTCCTTGGTAGGCTCATCCAACTGCCCGGATTACACCAAGCTAACTGGTAACAGACAGGAACTCTGCCTATAACTATTGGGTGCCTCAACTTGCCACAGACGGCACTTCACCAGGCTTCAGCACCCCGGAGAAGGTCGCCTCATCCATCATTGTCAAAGCGGGCTACCTTGTTCGAACTGCTTACCTGAAGGGCAGCGGTCTCTACCTCACCGCAGACTTCAACGCTACCACTTCTGTTGAAGTCATCGGTGTCCCCTCTACCGCTAAGAATCTGTTCATTAATGGAGATAAGACATCGCACACCGTTGACAAGAACGGCATCTGGTCGGCTACAGTCAACTACAATGCCCCTGATATCTCGCTTCCCAGCCTGAAGGACTTGGACTGGAAGTATGTGGACACTCTTCCTGAGATCCAGTCTTCCTACGATGATTCTCTCTGGCCCGCCGCGGATCTCAAGCAGACAAAGAACACGCTTCGTTCTCTGACTACCCCTACCTCTCTGTATTCATCCGATTATGGCTTCCACACCGGATATCTGCTTTACCGCGGACATTTCACCGCCACGGGCAACGAGAGCACCTTTGCTATCGATACGCAAGGTGGATCAGCATTCGGAAGCTCTGTCTGGCTGAACGGAACATACCTCGGGTCCTGGACTGGTCTTTATGTGAACTCGGACTACAATGCCACCTACAACCTGCCTCAGCTCCAGGCAGGCAAGACGTATGTGATCACCGTTGTGATCGACAACATGGGCCTTGAGGAGAACTGGACTGTTGGTGAAGATGAGATGAAGACCCCGCGTGGTATTCTCAACTTCCTGCTGGCCGGGCGGCCGAGCAGCGCAATTAGCTGGAAGTTGACCGGAAACCTTGGCGGCGAGGACTACGAAGACAAGGTTCGAGGTCCTCTGAACGAGGGTGGTCTCTACGCTGAGCGCCAAGGATATCACCAGCCCGAGCCTCCCAGCCAGAACTGGAAGTCTTCCAGCCCTCTGGAGGGTCTCTCCGAGGCAGGCATCGGTTTCTACAGCGCCAGTTTTGACCTTGACCTGCCGAAGGGATGGGATGTCCCACTGTTCCTCAACATCGGTAACAGCACTACGCCATCCCCGTACCGCGTGCAGGTCTACGTCAACGGATACCAGTATGCGAAATACATAAGCAACATCGGACCTCAGACCAGCTTCCCTGTCCCTGAGGGAATTCTGAACTATCGTGGAACGAACTGGTTGGCAGTGACCCTGTGGGCTCTCGACTCTGCCGGCGGCAAGTTGGAAAGCTTGGAGTTGAGTTACACCACTCCGGTGCTGACTGCCCTTGGCGAGGTCGAGTCGGTTGACCAGCCCAAGTACAAGAAGCGGAAGGGTGCATACTAGGTTCTGTAAATAGCCCATTTATCCAGTTTGATCCTATCATAGGTTAGCCACATAGCCTCCCGTCGGCCTGGTCAAATGGCCGGGGGAGCTGAGAAGTTAACTATATTGAGATGCTACAAAATGACAATTTCTGAGTAACACTGAGGTCTCCCAAAAATAGTCTCAAGAGCCCGAGCAGCATTGGGATGTTAACGGTAAAATTATGGGACGGGTAGGAAGATAAAGAAAAATGAAAAAAGAAAGTGCATCATCCGTGAATCGAACACGGGCCTCATCGATGGCAACGATGAATTCTACCACTAGACCAATGATGCTAGTTGATGTAAAGAGTCTCTTAATATTGTTTTATCAACCAATCTAACTGCACTGATGTCTGTATGGGGAAGCCACAGACGAAATATCTCATTCATAGCGCATAATTCTGTTGTTGGCAAACCAAGTCTTTGTCGCAGGCCAAATCTTGGCATGCTGCAGCCCATAAGTCTCAAGGGATACACAACTATTGACATATGTTTTTCTTTCAGCTTTGCTGATATGTCGGTGAACTATTTGTTTATTGTCATCGGAATATATATCTTCACTGCGAAAGTTTGTCGATACTGGTAGTACTACCACAGCAATCCATACTAACGTGGAATATAATGGAACTACACGGCAGCAGCCGCCTGAAGGGAGCCGAACATGACAGGGGATAGTCAGCACCTATCAAACAATGCATTTATCGTACACGAAGCCCAGCTGACTGGACTGCCATATTCAGTGCCCGAGAACCTCTGTGATCTTTATATTCCCCCACCAAATGAGGAGTCGTCATTAGTCGACTTTCACTATCGGCAACTGTCAAGTTTGACTGGTCCGGTCATTGTTTGCCTGCAGTCTGAGAAGAGTCCTACTTTATCCACGGCTGCGGAAGTTAATGAGCAAATCGACGAAGTTACGGCACAGTTACCAGTCGGATATCTGGATCTGGAGCAGATCAGACTATGTCGAGATGCCAAAGAGAGACACACTCGGGCCTTCCGCCTGGTTCACGTTCACAGCTTGAAGGCACAACTATACATGCCGTTATTCTTGCAGGGGTCCCATGACGACAAGCAAGGGTATAGCCGGATGGCTTGTGTGAGGAGCGCAAGGTCTCTTCTAGAAGCGTACCTTCTCTTGTATGAGGGTGACCTTACTGCGGCATGCTCAGATGATAGCATGAAATAGTCGGCGCCGAGTGCGCTAACAGCAGCGGTGATTCTCTTTGTGAATCTGCTCGGCTATGGAAGGAACGCTGCCGCAGATGCAGTGCAAGAGAGAGCCGCCGATAAAATCCATGATAGTGAGCTGATTAAACGGATCCTAATCGCGCTGGACAGCTGGTCAAAGAAACAACCAGGTTGATTATCTGGTAAATATCATGCTACGCTGCAAGAACTCGTGGAAAGCAGTCTAGAATTGCGCAAAGGAGAGCGTCGCGAGATTGTCGTGCCGTACTTTGGCAGGGTGACTGGTGACCGCAGAGAGGGTGCTTCGCAGGCTGCTGATCCCTGGCTAGAGACGTCAGGCGTAGCAGCACCTTTGTTGGAGTCGAATGTCCATAGCGTCGCTAACTGGTCTGCTCTGCACGATGACATTTGCCTTTCGTATTCCAGTCCATGGACGGTGCAAGAGAATCATGCAGAAAGGCTTGTTGACAATGCCGATGCAGCAGCAGCTTTCGACTGCACAACCGGGCCTGATTACGGCTTTAGCCAATACTAAATAACTCGGAGACATTTTCCACTGCTAACTCGGAGACTTTCCGGGTTATATATACTTTAATTCCTCCGATGCCTTATTGATACTCCGCATATATCCAAGACTGGCCGCTGTGATTGGCTATCATGTGTGGACACGGCCGAGAATGCATCAAACCGCTAGTGTTTGGGTGACGATTATTTGATGATTTGTAAGTTATGAAGTCATGTACTAAGTTAACAACTAGTTTAACTCCCACTTGCCCCACACCATCCACTTAAGCGTATATTTAACACATCAACTTCACCAGGGTCCGCGAGCTATCCAAGGGCGATCCTTACGAACTGCCGAGCCGAATAACTCAGATATGCCAACCAAGCTTTTCATCACCGGCGTGACCGGCTACATCGGCGGCGACGCCTTCTATTACCTCTCACAACACCACCCCAACTTCGAATATTCTGCGCTAATTCGCTCGGAGGAGAAAGCGAAACGTATCCGTGAGGCATACCCTAACATCCGCACCGTTATTGGTAGCCTAGATGATTCGGAGGTTCTTGCGAGAGAAGCCGCTTGGGCAGATATTGTGCTTCGTATGCCTTCCCTCCCCTCCTGTTTTCTATCTCTTTATTACTCTTTATGTATAAGTACAAGTGTAAGCATACTAACAAAATAGACACCGCCGACGCCTCCGACCACGTAGGCGCGGCCAATGCCATCGCCAAGGGAATGATCGAGGGCCATTCCCCCGAAAGACCGGGATACTGGCTCCACACAGGAGGCACCGGAATCTTGACATATTTCGACTCAGAAGTGAAGAAAGTCCATGGCGAACACGACGACAAAGAATTCAATGACGACAAGGGAGTAGACGAACTGGTCAATCTTCCCGCGGCTGCGTTCCATCGGAACGTCGATGAGATCGTCCTCAAGACGGGAACTGAGCATGCCGACAAAGTGAAGACAGTCATTGTTTGTCCACCTACGATCTATGGAAAAGGAAGAGGACCTGTGTCCGCTCGCGGTAGACAGGCGTATGAGCTTGCCAGCTTTATCTTGAAACAGCACTACACCCCTCAGATCGGCAAGGGCCTAGCACGTTGGAATAATGTGCACGTATATGATCTGAGTACATTATTCGGAGCTCTTGTTGATGCAGCACTTGAGCCTAGCAAGAAGGACGACAAGGAGATCTGGGGAGAGAAGGGCTACTTCCTCTGTGAAAACGGGGAGCATGTCTGGGGTGATCTGGCGAAGTTGATTGGGGAGAAGGCACATGCTCTAGGTTTCTTGAAGGAGAAGCCACAAGTTAAGGAACTTTCGCTTGACGAGGCGATCAAATCACCGGCAGGCTTTGAGGCCGCGAGCTGGGGCTGGAATTCCCGCGGCAAGGCGCTGAGAGGACGGAGGGTATTGGGGTGGACGCCACGCGAGAAGAGCTTGGAGGAAGAAGTGCCAGAAATTCTGAAAGCGGAGGCTGCGAGGCTGGGAATCTAAGTATCAGCCTTGAGTGGTATGGAGAATTCTCTAGACAAGGTGGTTATCTCGGATGAACACCTTAAGTAGATGCAAGATAATAGTAAAAACTCTTAATCCCGCAAGCTGCACTCTTATATCACTAATCTATGTCTGTATGTTGTCAAAAGCGATTGATACACTAAGTAAAATTAAGTGAACGATACTTCTCTATCAGAGGAAAATTTTTTGCTGAAGTAAATCATAGATCTCAATTTCCATTATAACAAAGCCACCATCACCACAAAGGTACCCAGAAGGACGCAGCATTCGCAGTTCTGGCGGACCGCGAAATGTGTACGGTGCAGGCTCTGCACGCTGACCGTAGAGAGTACATGAGGAGTAGTTTTTAATACAGAAAAGGCCCGAACCTCCTTGCACTACGAGGTCCACATGAGTGGCTTATAGCCGGTCGAGCTTCTGGCTATATAGGGGCTGATATAGCCGAGAGCATTTGTTGTAGGGAATGTAGTGCAGGCGGCATATCTGACGTTAAGATACGGAGGATAGTGATAATTCCAATTGAATAATAACTATATCGAACGAAGACAACAACCTTTTCAACCGGAATACCGTCAAGGCATATACACATCATGCTCAATCACAACGTTGGTACCCTTTGATTTCAAACGTATACATTACATCGTAAATTCCCACACAATAGCAGACTTCCGATCCATCTACTCACCAACCTCAATAACAATATGCCCAATCCCCCTCGAAACACAAGCCAACATCTCTGACCTCTGCTCCGACTCCATCAAAGCCGTACCCCGATGCAGCACCCTCCCACAGCGAACAGAAACCCTACAAGTGCCACAGTTCCCCACCTCACAGGAACTTCCGATCTCGAAGCCAGCATCCCGCACCACCTCCAGAAGTGGCTGCTCAGCGCCGACCTGGAGCCCCTCTAACTTTCTGCTCGGACCAACAACATCCACAGTGAAGGGGTCGCCCCCGGCATCCTCACCATTAAATAACTCGTAATGCACCTCATCAGAAGACATATCTACATCAGCGGCCGTCTGGATCACGGCATCGATCATGCGCTGCGGCCCACACACATAAACGTGGCTGTTCCAGATGCGATTCCGCAGGATCTTCACAATGTCCAGCCGTTGGCCCTGGGATTTGTCGTAGATGGTGACGTGCGGTTGTAGGTCGGCTAGCAGGGGCTGGAAGGCAACGTCGGTGGTGCTCCGCACAGCATAATGTAAGGAATAGTCCTGGTTGGTGTCTTTGAGGCGGTTCATCATGGCGATAAGCGCTGTGATTCCTATCCCGCCCGCGATGAAGATGTGATGAGACGCCATATTGTCGATGGCGAGGCCCTGCCGTATCACGGAGGCCACTAGGACTGTGTCACCCTGTTTGAGTGTCTGGTGGATATAGCTCGATCCACCGCGGCTGCGTTCGTCTAGGGCCACGCCCAGCGTGAAGCGATCCGTGTCGCCATGGACGATGGAGTAGGCTCGGCGTAAGCCAGATGGGAACTTGAGCCGGGCATGGCTGCCGGGTAGGATAGCACTAGGTGAAGGTGCACTTCGGCGAACTGCCTCCAGCTCCAGCCGCACGATACGGGGTGTCTCCGCGGTATGACTGACGACTCTGAACTGCCTCCATGTCTCAGGTGGACGCTTAGCCGCGGCCTCCTTCTCCTGATGGGCTCTCCAGCGGTCGATAAACACGTCCTTGCACTCACCCCCCAGGACCTCCATAGCCATGAGATGCTGCGTCACCGCCAAGTCCGTCTTATCGCGATGGACATAGTGATGCAGCCGAGCGATTGACCATCGCGGATGACTCCGATGAATGACGCGAATCTCCATGCCTTCCTGAATCCAACCCTCCTCGACGACACGATAATACCATCCCGTCTTGGCCTCCTGGTGAGTGAGCGGAGCGAAGTTCTTGATCCCGAAGCGCTGGTTCAGCTTGAAGCACGGCTGGCGCGGCAGACTGACCTCCAGGACGCAACCATTGCGGCCGCCGGTGCGCAGGGAATCCTGGGGCCCGATGCGCACCCTGTCGCCGATGCAGATGGTCTGCTCGTTCCAGCCATCGGCGACGAGGTTCTCGCCAAAGCCGCCGGGTATGAAGCGTGCGCGGGCCTCGGGAAAGCGATCGGCCCAGTAGGAGTAATGGTCAGCGCAGTACTGGTGGATGGCTTTGTCGATGCCGCCGTGGAAGGTCAGATCGTGCTCGTCGTCTTCGAGGCCGGTGGTGGAGACGTAGAGTTGGCCGGGACGGGTTTGTTTGTCGATGGCGGAGAGGACGGGGCCGAAGGGGCGGAGCTTGGAGGTGCGGATCTCTTGGAGGGTCGTGGGGGGCGGAATGGGGATGAGAGGTGGTTGTGATGATGAAGTGAAGTCGATGCGGGTCATTCTTGTAATATAATTTCTATAGATGTTGGAAAAGGAGTCGTCGATAATGCATATTTGCTGGGGAATGAGCCTAGGGCTTGCATTTATAGTATGATTCTCAGCATCGGGACCAAATAAGTTACTAGTGAGCCGTGGCTGTCGTTCCGGTTCACCCGATTAGGAAGTTGACTGGTGAGGGATCCACTCTTCGAATCCTGATTATTCCATTCTTTTCCACTCTTATTGGTCAACTGTGAACGTTCTGCTTGTTGGTGCAGATGAACTAAAGAATGCGGAAGGGCCTGGCTGACCGTAATCACCACGACTAGATAGGTCCATCCGACACCGATGCCCCCGAGGAAGAACGCTGCCATGATGCTTGCGAAGCTCGCGTACTGGAGACTTAGGCCGGTCATGAGCATGGCGCCGCGACCTGCTACCCTAGGGGCGCTGTGGGGGTCGATGAGGGCTGCGGCTTTCGAAAGCCCGACGGACAGACCAACACGGGCGCTTTTAGAGGACGCCATGGCCCAGTCAGGGGAGATCCCTAATAATCGTGGAAGCTCGGCGTGCAGGGCGCTGGCCTAGAAGGTGCCCACGGTGAACATGTTGGCGTAGCTGAAGGTGGCGGTTAGCCATGGCGATGGGGTTGATGTAGCTGGGGTAGTCATTGTGTGTCTTGACATCGATCCCTTATTTTCCTCGTTCGATGTAGCAGGATAATAGCTGATGAGGATTGGGAGAAGATGAGATAATGGTTCCGAAGTAGTGAACGAAGGAAGGAAATGGTTCCAATTTAGGGCAATTGCCTCCCGCCCAAACCACTTCGTATTTGGAGACACTCCGCACTCCCAGTTCGCTATCATGATACTAAATGAGTCCTAAAATAGTATCTACCTACTCCACAAACTGTACCGGCTCTCTACGAGAGCGATTCACCCGCAGATCAAAGACATCCAACCGCTGATATCCACCCACGACATCATGATACTGCTTCCCCTCAACAGTCCTCCGCAAATCCAGATCCGCATAGAGAATGCCCTCCTCAAGCTGCAGAAACTCCTGACTTTGCTTCGCTCCCGTCTCCTTATCGACCGTCCAGCCGGGCACGGGCGCGCCCGTAGGATCCAAGAACATAGTGACCCCACGCGGTGACGCCTCCAGGGCACGACGCAAGCGATCCGGCTCGCGCGCCCCATCCAGCAAGGTCTCAATAGCCGTTTGATCCAAGATAGCACTGCACATGACACCAAAGCATTTGGCCTCGAAGCAGTGCGCTGCGGCGCGTAGCCGGTTCGCGAGCACATTGTCGTAGTTCCGATCTCCCTCCTCATCATCATCTTCCCCAGCCAGCACGCGCGTCGGCCACACGCACGGCCAACTCGAGATATGGATCTGCTGGCGCTGACACATCAGCGCATACCGGGCCAGCGGATTGGTATTCTCGCCGCAGATGAGGGCGCCGATGCGCCCGGATGAGGTATCCGCCACGCGCAGACCGTGCCCGTCGCCGGGACTCCAGGTGAGTTTCTCGAAGAAGGTGGGCACGAGCTTGCGGTGGTGGACGAGGATGTCTCCGTTGGTGTTGATGATGAGATTGGTATTATATAGACAGGCTGTGCTTGTGGGTGCGCGCTCCGAGATGCCAATACTCACAACGGTTCGGGTCTCGCGTGCTGCGGCACACAGCGCGGCTACTTCTTCCCCTGTTTGGCCGTCGAGGTCCTTCACGGTAATGGATTCGGCCACCATGCGCTCGAAGAAGGCGTGGTTGTCAGTTGGGGCGCGCAGGGCACTCCAGAGGGGGAAGCCTGCGATGTAGGATTCCGGAAAGACGACTAGTTGTGCCCCGTGGCGGGCGGCTTCGTGGATGAGCGAGATGGCTTTTTGGGTAGTTTCCTTGGCTGAGAGGAAGTGGGGTGCGACGTGGCAGGCTGCTACACAGGTTATGGGATGCTGTTGTTGATCTGTTGCTTCCATTGTGCTTGTTATAGCTGTAGGGACGGGGGATAGTTGTGTAGGGTTGGGAAGATGGAATATTGTAAGATAATGGGAATCTCGTAGTTGAATGGGATGATGTCCTATGCGGAGGCATTGCGCACCTTATATAAGTTCAAGTATCACTAATACATGACCAGGGTACGAAACTAGTAACTAGTATGCCGGTCTTCCGATGTTCGGCCAGAAGGTAATTCCGCCCACTGGGGATATTGAAGCTGATAAACCGCGCCCGATCACATACCACGTTTGCGTGTATTTTCCAATTCAGATACGTATAAAACTACGCTTTCCCACAGAATACCTTCTCATCCTACTCATTCCCCCTTACATCCGACTTCGGGTGAACCGCGATTACTACAGTGCGATCGAAGAAGGCCGCCAAATGCAGCCCTTCATGCACATATCCGTCTACATCGCCAGACTGAGCTTGCAAGCACCTTTTGACCGGCTTTTCTCATGTTAGTTTCATGACCAACTCATTCTGTAAAAACCTATATGTTCGAGAGTTCACAGTTTTGCCGTCGTGAGCAACTTTCCTGGCATGCCCAAACGCAGCAATCTACGAGAAAGCCGGCAAGCCATGTAGGCGATGTAATCAGAAGCACATAAAGCGCCCTGTACAGACTGCATTCAAAGTGATAATGCCTATTGTACAGTCCCTGAGACCAGACGGGGCACATATACCCGGACGCTGCGTCTCCAGGAGCCTCCAGAGGCTTAAACGTCTACCCCAACAGTGAGTAGCGGCCCATCACTTTACTTCAAGCCGCTGCTACCCCAGCTGAGAACCCCGTATCCTACCACGCAACCCGCCAGCCAATGCAAATTGAGGGTCATTCGTTTCTCCCGATGGCGCAAAAGTCACTGACTCTCCGTTACAGCAGCTATCTGCCGGCTCCAATAATATCGCTACATTCTGTTGGCAATATCTTGTGGTCTGCCATGTTCGATCACTTCACGAATAGCCGCAAAGACGGCAGTTACACCCTGCCCGAGGACCGGGGTTTCCTGTGTATCGAAGAGGTGTTCAAATGTCCCGAAGAAGCCCACCTGTGCACCCTCCTATATGTCTTCCTGGAATGCGTATATCCTGCCTACTTACTCGCGAATCATCAGAAGCTTCTCCAGCAGCATGCGTTGCAAACCATCCCATCGTTATTTAACATTCTATTTGCTTCATCGCGACCAACCCCTGTCCAAAATCTGTACTGCAGAACGCAGACTCCGCTCAATCGTTTTTTACATTGATAAAAGCCCTCTTCAATCCCGGCGAAGATATCAGCAAGATTGTCATTCTCCAAAGTGCTATTATGACGTCGTTTTGGAAGGGGGCTCTGCCAACTACTGGAATCTCTATTCCTGTATAAGCACTGCTGTAACGCTAGCAAAAACAGTTGACATCCATAGGTCGATGGCGGCGACCAACATACAACCGCAGGTTAGCGGCCCCGACGGAGTCGGGGTGCACTCTGCAATAGCACGTGGGGTTTCTTATAAATAACTAAAGAAAATCAACAGTATTTTGAGGTGATAAAAGCATATTATGTATTAAGCTATAGGTGCCTCTGCATTCGCATATAAGTGCAGGGAAAACCCCCTCTGGTTGAGGAGCAAAAACCTGTACTGAGGCTTGCAAAGGTTACAGAAACCATAATTACACTTAGACAGGTCATAAATATGAAGGCCACTTGCCAGCTTGCTCCCCAGGGCTGGTCAAAGCATTTCTTTGGCTTCTGTAACACACTTTCAGTGTTCTAAGTTTTAGTCTCTCCTGAAGGATGCGCCAACTAGCTGCTAAATTCAACGAAAGTACATACCTTTGACTATCAATAGATTTGTGTCCACGATCCAATGCCGTGCGTGCTGAAATTTTGGTCAACGGGCATGGGCAGCTCGCCTGCGATTTTAGGAGTGTTATCAAAAGCGGTTTCAAAATCTGCACTACCAATGTGGCCCTCGAAACTATGTGTACCCGTGAGTTGTTCTGTAGTATCATAATCTATTTTTGCTGGCGCCAGCCCGAAATTTGGAAGCGCTGGATTGAGGTTCAAAGAGCACTTAGACTCATGGCCATCGACGTTAAATACTGCATCTGCTTGATTTGGAGCCCGCCACATGAAGGTTCCATAAGAAGTGGGCATGGTGACTTGCACTCAAGGATGCTGTAGGTGAAGTAAAGCTTAAAATTTGATTTATGATGTGGTTGCTTCAGTAAATGGAAGAAGGATAGATAGCAGAAGTCCTAGGCTCCAAACCCAGGATATATCAGGGCGCTTTTATATGTAGTTCGGTACTGTTGGTACTAACCTGACAAGGCTTGTACATTGATTCCAAAGTAATGATTTAATTCTATGTTCCAAACCTAATAGTGGGCCACTGACAGGGACTCCATTGCGATGTCATACTCACTCAGAGTTTCACTGGCGGACCCATGAACCGTAGGAGTTTATTTGCGCTTTATTTGGTGTAATTGGATGGGGCGGACTCTTCCTATTGTATTTGACTTTATTTGCAAACGGCCCACTGCATGAAGCCTAGATTGATCCAGAACGCAACCTAAGACCGCCCTTGAGCATATAGACGCAATCACAAGGCACTTTGTTAAGGGTTACATATGAAGTCTAGTATTAGTCGATGATTTCATTGCTCATATCATTGAATCGAGATTTTGGTTTTTATGCCGTTTGCAAATAAGCTTCTTAGTAAGTGGCATTTGATCACATGTAGGTCCCGAGAGCTGTACGGAAAACCCTAAGAAAGCCCATGATACAGCATCAGAAGACCGTCTTACCATGAAACAAAATTATAGGGAATGCATGCTAATATTTGAGACGGATTTGTATTGATTCGGCAGGAAGTCCACAGAAACCACTCTGCCGCTGGATTGCAGACTTTTCTAAGTATAAGTTAGTTTTTAGTACATTGAATTTTTCGGGCTTTGTAGGGTTAAAGTTTCTAGCCGCTTTTTTTACTGAACAATCCACTTATTTCTAGGTTCCTTGAATAATTATGATTCTTAAGATACTGTTATTTACAATCACAGTACTATTACTATAGTATTCATTATAATTTGTAGCTGCCATACCTTGAAGCCAGATTCATTCTGGTCATTCCATATCGCGTCATACGTGGGGTAAGTGTCCATGGTAAAGCTTTTGCTGGAACGCGGATCTGAGATCGACTCCCCATGGGGTATTTTGGATTGCGGCTAGTCGCAGCCGTTGGCTTCTAGAGAGAAAGCAAATTTTCATCTCCTTTTGGCCTGTGGAAGTAATTCTTCATCGTGGAGCTAGGGGCTTGGGATCCAAGAGTTCTTTAGAAGGAAAGGCATGTGGGGATCTTCTTTACTAAGCATATTCTTCTGCGCAGTAGTAATAAACCCCTGGGTCTGGTGAACGGTTCTCACTGGATGAGTGCATAGACCCGTAGTGAGCTTGGGCGCAGACACTGAAGAGATACTCATCCGTATCCTTCTAACTACACCTTTGTATGAAATTTAGTGCATTAGGGTTATTTAGAAGAAAGAGAAAAGTGGTTAGTGGCAAAATTGTTACTTGAAAAGTTTGTGGGTTAGCTAACATTGACTCTGGCATGACCGATAATAGGGCGAAAGGGAGAGTAGAAAGTTTTCGTGAAGAGATACATCTCTCCCACAATACCTAGATCATGCCGCTCGTGAAGTGCCGTTTGCGTACTTCCCACTATGTCACAGGATCATGTCCTGTCCTTTCACTCATGACTTTCGCGCATGAAACCCTTCTTCTTCTTCTTCTTTTTTTTTTTTACTTTTTTACTCTTTTCCCCATTCCTTGGGACATTACACCAACGTCCCATGACTTGGTGAGAAGTGTGGTCATCGGCTTTCTCCCCAACATCATCACCATTGTCTCTCTGGCGAAGGTGCTGGACGTGAAGCCCACATGGCAGGCCCTCCCTCATGAAAGTAGATGAGTATGGGGTTGTTGGGTTTAAGGGCCAACCAAAGTACATTTAAGCTCCATAGACAATCCAAAAGGAGATATGATTGGCGCCTCAGCCGTGCTATTGGCTCTTGGTTTGTTCGACCAATCTTCCACGTTCACCGGGGTACGAAGTGGCGGCGTCGCGGACCTCACTATCACCGTCATCACCGGAGCCCAGGTCCGCGCCGCCGCGGAATATCACAGCAATCGCGGGATCAGGCGGAAAGTCCAACCCTGTGCCTTCCTCTCATCTGCAAGGATTCAGGTCCAGGTTAATGCGTCCTGAATTCGTCTTTACGTAGGGATCGCTCGCATCGCAGAATATCTCCGCACTCACTTGTGGCGGCACTCCAGATTCTCGCCATCAAGACGGATAATACGAATTACCTTAGTGTCCCGTTTGGAGAAAGCCTTTAGGAAAGGGTGGGTTGCGAATGGCTAATAAGTTGTCGCCTTATATGTCTACATTGCTTTAGGCAGTTGTATCATTTCGGACTTGGATTGTCCTGTCGTAGGATCCAGAGACTCGGCGCTCACCATTCTATTCCTAGGCAAGAGCCAAATGACCCTTGGACTTGCTGATTTCGAGACATCGCCAGCATTCACAAAACACGGCTGCCTTGCTGGCCTGTGACGGCGAACATTAGTGGCGGGTGTAATTCATAGGCCCTATTTTTGCTTTTCTATATATGCAAGAAACGCAGCACTTGAATGTTAACTCGAGGCGCGGGCCTGTTGTCGGAAGGCTGAGGTTATTCATGGCCGGTGGGGGAAGATTTAAATCCGCAGAAGCTATATATGCTCTCCTAGAAACGTCCCCTGAAGTTGTTTTGTGTTGGCACTTTTATCGTTCACTAGATCTGCTGTGGACCCTCCGCCTCGCTCAGCGCTGCCCCAAACGCTCCCTCTAAGGGCCATCTCTCCCGGGACTACCCACCATAGTGGCCACTACACCTGGAAGCTACCGCAGGGCAGCGGTCCCTATGCGAGCCGTATATCATGTCTAAGCTTATGATGTAGTTCTTTCAAGATGGATAAGGCAGACTATTTGCGGCATTCACTCAGCAACTGGACAGTGTATTAATAAACAGAAACTACACTAGACTGGAATTAGCCTTCAGTCAAACGCATGGACTTAATTCTATCATCGGCCCACTATCTGTATGCATTAATCGTGTCCAAATCTAATCTTCAGGTGCCTTGGCTCGAAGAAAAGTCACTTTGCCAGACGCATGGCCCATTATTAGAAGATCATCATCAGTAGCAGCAGCACATGTAGCGTGGTAGTCATTAGGCAGCAGGATCGCTTCATTCCCAATCCGGGCCCATTCATCTTCGAATACTGCTAGATCACGCGAGGAGGCGTACTCGGATCCCTTGTAAAAGGACCGAACGTCGGCTCGACCGATGTCCGTCATTATGCTTGTCCCATTGGCAGAGAAGCAGAGAGTTTGCCGGCTAGCTGCAACACCTCGAGTACCAATGAGGATGCCGGTCTTCACATCCCACAGGCTTGTTCCACCTTCGGGAGAACGCGGTTCCCAAGAAGAAAAGCCTCTGGTCCATCCAGAGGCCAGCAATTTGCCATCCGGGGAGAATGCGATCGCCCTCGGTGTATGCCTTTCCCCTCCCGGGTAATCTCCTATCAACCTCCTCAAGGTCCAAGTAACTGTATCCCAAAGCAACACAGTGCCATTGCCAGACACGGATGCTAGATGTGTGTTATCAGGGGACCATGCAGTGTGAGAGATATTGCCGTCACTGTCAGATATCAGTAGCATGGTTTTGAGCTTTCCAGATGATAAGCTCCATATCGAAATGCCTCTGTCAGGCAATGTTACAGCCAGAAGCTCTCCATCTGGGGAGAATGACAAAGAAGATATATTATATCCAGATCCCTTCAGCACTGGTCCGATCTCCCTAGTCTTTCTGTTCCACAAGTTAATCGAGTAGCTCTCTCTATCATAGCCAGAATCACGCTGAGGAGGCTGCTCTTCCAAGTCGGGTTTCATCTCAGAGTCATTCATCATCAAGTCCGGGGACCCTCTTATCCATACGGCTTGCGCGAAGATGTCACCATTTGGACTGAAAGTGAACTCTGAGTCTTCCCAGGATGTCTTAGGGAGTATGCACACCAGCTTCCCAGTATCCATGCTCCATACCTGATCACTTGATCTGGTGTGATTGGCAAACAAACGCCCGTCTGGAGAAAACAAAGCCTTGTGAGGGAACCAACTCTCAACTTCCATTGCCGGGCTTTTGGTCCGGACGTTCCAAAGATATATACAATCGCTCATGACTGCGACACTGTTGTGGTCAGGAGCTAGGTACAGCTGGTAAATATGAGATGACGAAAATTGTTTCATGGAATTCTCGTTCACTGGTTTCCCCGTAAGGTCCCACAAGCGAATACCTTCCTGAACAGACTTGGTCGCCAGAAGAGACCCATTATTAGAAAATTCGAAAACCTGTGCAGGGCTTGTGCTATCATCCAGAGCTTGGAGGAGCTCTCCAGATGTGGCATCCCATACTTTGATTAGATTTCTTTGGTCGCTTTGATAGTCCTGCGCAGATGCCAACAGCCTGCCGTCGGGGGACAGCTGGAGCAGCTGACCGCCGCCATAAGTTGTCTTGACCTCCGTGCCAGAAGCCCAATCCCACCACTTGAATTTTCCTTTCTGTTGTTGGTCAAGCCCACTGCTGATCAGGATTTTGCTATCCTGGGAGAAGGTGAAATCCCTGACGTCGTCAACGAAAAAGGATTTGAGCTTGTGGTGCGTTTTCAGGCACCAGATGGATATAGTTCTGGCCCATAGAACGGCAATTACATCCTCAGTAGGGCAGAATGCCACCTTCCCTGTCGAGACTCTCTTGGGATCACCTGCTTCAATGGAATAATCCAAAGTAGCATCCGTTGTGTTCCACATCCGAACCATTCCCTTTGTACATAGAGTTGCCAGAAGCTCACCATTAGGTGAAAGCGCCATAGACAAGAGCTTCGACTCGTGAGGCTTGAATGATTTTGTTACTTTCCCTCGCTTGATATCAAGAAGTAAATGTGTGCCCCCCAATGAATACGAAGCTGCTCTGATCCTGTCAACGGAAAAGGTTTGCGCAAGAGCCCACTGGCCTTGGATGGGGGATTTTATCTGTTTTATCAAGCGCCCCGAGGACACATCCCACTCTGTCACATTCCCTTCTTTCGATAACGATATGACTTTTTTGCCATCTCTGGAGAACGAGACAGAGCACCCAATCCCCATCGGCTTAAGGGTGTTAAGAAGTGTTCCTGTAGTTGTATCCCAGATTTCAACTTTCGAAGTTGCAAGTAGCTTGCCGTCGGGTGATAAGGCGAGACCCTTGCATGCGTCAGAGATATCACTAAGGGCCTCATAACCTCCCAGTGTCTGTAATAAAGGGCTCCAGTATTTCCGCATCGCTGGTGGCTCAATTATCCACTCAGGGATTGCGTTCTCGTACTGCTTCCGGACAAGGCTTTGTTCAGGAGTGTAAATAAGTGCTGAGATGTAGACCTGCAAGGGTGCCTTCTCGATGATCGTTCGTGAGTGGCGCATAAAACGTTTTATGTCATGGACAAAATCACACAGCCCGGATCGCCCACCACACTGTACACCCCGGGTCAGTTACGTATGGAGAGGAAGATTTTTTAGAATCTCGAATGAAAATACTGTGGGGTTGAAAGTTTAGTAGCAGATGTGAGACTTACGGGAAGACTCATCAAGTACTCCGAGAGCTTTATCACAGCACGCATTCCCTCAGATATCATTCCCATGATGCTTAACGACTCGAGCCAATGAAGAAGATGCTTTTGCAAGAACCTATACACTGGCCCATTGTCTAGAACAAGGTGAGAGCTTCCACTCAACTGCAAATGCTCCAGCCAATAGATGCAGGCATATTTCATGTGCGGGGGAATTGTCTGGTTCACCATATCTGGATCAATGTCGCAGCTCAGGGTGAAAATGTCTCCGAATTGGCATATGTCTCGTCTCAGCATGTTGCTGAGTGTCTCAATGCAATTGATGAATAGATCGATATGCTTTTCCTTCCTCGACACCAGAAAGGTCCTATCGAGGCATCTGTCTTCGCTTGTCAAATATTCCGGGAAGGATGGATGCACGAGACGAATTGGGGAATCCTGGCTGGCTGCGAGATGGATGACTGAGCTCAGACTTTCTAGAATGTCTTTCGTGTCAGCAATATCCTTGCCTATGAGGTCGCTCAATGCAGCCATAGAGAGAGGTTCGCAGAGCACGATAATGGCCCCAACGGTCGCTTGAAATATGAGACGGGTGTCGTCCGTTTCCTCGGGCGTTGCAGGGTCGAGAATATCCTGGAGGACCTCGACATAAATTCTGTCCACTGTCTCACGGGGAGTTCGGTCATCCCTTAGAAGTAGATCCAGACGTGATTTAGCTTTCTCTTTCGTCACTCTATAATCACCTATAAAACGCCAAGCCGTTGAAGCATATATCCACAGCCCATCAGCCTTCTCAGAAAGCGCATTTAGTCTTCTGTCCCCAGGCCATTCTGGCTCAAGGCCATGCCTATCGGCTATTTCACGTAGCTTATGTTTGAGCGTGTTCTTGATGTCCTGTTGGAATCTACCCTTATCATAATTTGATCCTTCTCCATGAAGTCCGGCTATGCAACAGTGGAATTCAGACACATCGTGTTGAAAGCTGGTGAAAATATGTTTTTGCGGTCTGCTGGTAAGGAAAATTTTGAGTCGAACGAAGTTTAGCTGATGAGCCTCGTCTAACAGTCGTAAGATGGCGCTGACAGGATCATCCTCAGACATGGGCTGGCACTCATCAAGTGCATCTATGACCACAACCAGCGTTAAAGGTAGGAGCCGGTTTCTCTTCTCCAAGTTTAACAGAGGCTGAAGAATGAGGTGGTTCCACTGCATCCTTAGGGAAACATGTTCCTTGCCAGCTCCTGGATGTTCCTCAAGACTTTTGCAAATTTCAGATTTGAGCTCAGGTAAGCAATTCGCAAGTGATTGGCAAAGGGTCGGGAACAGATAAGTGGCGTTGCTTTGCCGAATCTCGTTTTTATCAAAGAAAAAACTTGCACCAAGACAAATCGTGTCGGGGAGGGCATCCCGGTCCCGACATTGCGCTGCAATGGTTCGCGAGATGGTGGATTTCCCTCCGCCAGCTATTCCATGAAGCCAAAATATATGCTCTGGGCCAGGGGACTCGATCCAATTTCGAATGCGCTGGATGATACTGGTCTGGGTTCCCTCAAAGCATCGATCCTTCGTATCGTACTTCTCTGCTTCAATTCCTGCTTCCGGTGCAATCTGTAACTGGCTGAATGACTGATTAAACTTAATTTTCTTGAAACTGCGAGTTAGTCGTCGTTCGAAACCTGGATTGGAATGTCTAAATACCTCAAGATCTTTTTTTATTTCGCTTGAGGTCTCTCTGAAGCGCTTCTCAAATCGAAGTAGCACGCTGCTATCCATTCCTTGTAAGTCCTGCCGAATTGCTGTGTTGATGGTTTCAATAGTCTGAATCATTCCCTTCCAGTCTTCAGGGGCTCCCACGTCTTGCAGGGTCCTGAAAAGACCTGAACGAGAATAGTGTTTGGCAAGGCGTATTTGGAACTGAAGAATGTTAGCGTATAGCTTGATGACTTGAGCTTTGACCGATCGGGCAAGAGCTTCCTGTTGCTTTGACTGATCGGGACTTTTATCCCTGGGAATTTTTTCAACCCAGTCATGTTCAACGACTGCATAAAAGGTCATAAGTCTTGTGATAGACTCAAACCCGTCTGCAGCATCTGCATCTTGAGTGATGAAGCGCGTTATGGGTCCCACCAGAAGTACCAACGCTCCGGCCCATGCAAGAGCAGCATGGGGCTCCGAACTGACTATTGTGGTGACAATACTTTTTACCGACACGAATGAATTGACGACGCGACGGACCTGGTCTCTAACAACGATCTCCTTGCCTCCTAATTGGAACCTGGTTTGTGATTCCTGGATATCCTTGAACCTTTGGCGAATTATTGAGTGTAGGCGCGAAAGAACGGCTTGGTCATCTTCCTCAGTACCCCTTCCTTCCGTGTGTTCTTGTAAGAGAGTGCTCTTGTAAGCCTTGACTAGCTTGGCGTTGTTTGGGTCTCGAATGAGCTGTTCATATGCCTCCCACCAGAGACCTTTGAGCCCCGAAGACCCCATACTGGAGGTATCGTTTGATATGGCATTGCTTGAAGGTACTGGCGTGGCCAGTTGCGCTGGCGATGACGGGTCTATCGCGGGCGGAGGACTGAACGGGTCCTTTTGAGTGAAGTTGAACTGACCAGCCTCTTTCAAATGGTCTATTGTCTGAAGTCGTTGTTTCCTGCTGGAGAACACCCCTCTGAGTAGGTTCCAACAGCTACCAGACGCGGTCGCAACATCCTCGGAACGTGAAGTTTCCATTGTAGACATGGAACGATCGTGATGGGGAAGGCCGGCTGATCAGGAATTTCCAGGCTTTAAATTTGGAAGGAATACGGAGCTGAAATTAAGATCCATTCAGCTGCTGTGGTGGACAAAAGATCATTGGCCCGATTGGTTCGTGCACACTGCGAATTAGCGCCCATCGCAATTGCCTTACGGAGTACACAGACCTTAGTACTCCTATGATGTGGCAGTGGAGACGTGAGATGCATGGGCAGTGCACCAATCTGAAACACCCTGTTAGCACTGGCGTGAAGGCCACCCTCCTGGTTGCGCTCCTGGTCTTTCTTTCACATGCGCCCACAATCAATGTTAGCAGGTCCTTGAGCGATTCTTCAACATATTGCGGAGTAGGACTTGAATGTTTACTTTATCTCCACGGAGGCACTCTTCGGTACTATGTGGGAGTGTAGAGACCTACTCAGTACGCTAACATGCAAGCTAATTCCAAACTAATTTTACGCTAACCGTTGCTTGACAGGTCAGTTGCGGGGGAGGGGACCTTTTGTCATCCATCATTGAACCAGGCTTATCCAGATCAAGCTTCAGGATCCTCATAATGAGTTGCCTGTCTTCCACAGGAAGCTTTTGCCCGGAGCTCTCATGAAGGCTTTTAATTTCTTGCTGATGCACTACTTCACTTGATGTTTGCCGTCAAGTCATGCAACATCTCGATATGTCTCACTGTCACGCCGTCCACCTGCATTGGGGCTATGAGGTTGGTAATTTGGTGTTTTTGATGCATGTATATTTAGATTATATCTCTGACATGACAGATTTATTTTTAATCGGCGATTCCGGATCAGGTAATCAGGCAGTATCATCTCTAAGCAGTGGGCCTCGTTCTAACTGGAACGAGTGGGATGCATACTGGTGCATTGGTAGTGCTTATTCTTGACGGATGACCTGCTGGATCGAGTAAAAGTCGGAGTCTAATGATATTCGGCCTTCCCGTCAGTTGGCTAGTTGCCCTTTTGATCTTTGTATCGCGCTCCATTGCGGATAGCATGATGAACAGTGTCTCTCCCCTCTTACCCTTCATCGGATCAGCACGGACAAGGCTATACCTTCTAGTGCGAATAGCGATGTACTCCACCCTCCACCCATTTTTTGGCCCCCAACTGACGAGGCTTATAGCCAAGTGTTTTCTTTACCCTTTGCCTGAATCGTCTATTTTACCCCCGGCCATTATTCCATCGACCCCGCAACAACCACCACACTTATCACAATCATGCCGTGGACTACAACCGAGCACTCGCCAAACACTCTCACCCGGCCCCTTGGCCCTAACGAGGTATTCATCAAGTTGGTCAGTGACTTTGGCCACCCACTAGGCCGTGAACACTGGGCAGTCAACTACACCGTCACCATCCGTCCTCGCGGGGAATTTGCAGCGGATCTCCTTCCAACGCTGATCCGCCACAGCTGGTTGCATCTGCGCTTCCAACACCCCAGTCTAGCCGCGCATCCAGACTCCTCCGACGCCAACCTCGTCTACACAGTTCCCGAGTCCGCTGATACCCTCAACCAATGGGCCTCCCAAACCTTCTTCATCAAATCCGACGCCCAGTCTGCCGACGATGTGATCCGCACCATCGCACCCGCCCCTGACGCCCAACTATACTACATCCCCAAATCCAGCCAACTCCTCCTACACACGGCGCACTGGCGCACGGATGGAGTAGGCGGCTTCCTCCTCCTCGGCCAGCTCGTCGACCTAATGGCCTCTCATGCCGACACCCTCCTCTCAGGAAGCCTTCCTGACCCATTCGACGCCTGCGCCTGGGGTACCGAGACCACCCGACTATCCCTATCCGTCGAAGAAGCCGGCAACATGCCCCTAAACCCAACCGACGAACAAAAGGCCATCGCGCAGGAAGCAGTAGGCACCTTTGCCCTCGTTCAAGGGGCCGTCGGGATCCCCTACACGGGAGACGCCACAACCATCCCCACGGGCACCCGAGCCTCCGAACTAACCTTCACCTCGGCGGCCACCACCGCCGCCCTCTCCGCCGCCAAAGCCCGCGGCCTCGGCATTACCGCCGCCACGCACGCCAGCGTCGCCGCTGTCAACTTCCGGCACGCCATCCCCGAGCACCGCGCCCAGCGTCGTCACTACACCAGCACCATCCGGCACACGTTGCGGCCATATATGCCCGAACCGTACTCTGGTCCCGCGGGGGCCGCCACGCTGTTCACCACGGGCTGGACGTACCGCGTCGACCCCACGAGTAGCTGGGAAGAGAATGCGCTCAAGTATCACGCTGAGTATCGGAGGGGACTTAGTAAAGAGTATCTTCTCGCTCATCGTGAGTATGCGACTATGCTGGTGAATTTGCTGCGGAACCTCCCGGCGCCGGAAGAGCCGCCGAGTGATATTGATATTAGTAGTTTGGGGGTTCTGGAGAAATATCTGCAAAGAGAGTATGGGAGTCCTGAAAGTGGGTTCAGTATCGTGTATGCGGGGCTTGGCGTGGAGATGCTGGCAAGACAGGGTGTGGTGTATGTTTGGACGTTCAGGGATCAATTGACGCTGAGGGTGGTGTTTAATGAGGCGTATCATACGGAGGAGCAGATGTGGGCGTTTCTGAGGGATGTTAAGGCGGATTTGCTACGGGAGTTGGGGGTGGAAGAGTAGATGCAGATTTAGACGACGACGAGAATAGAAAGTTTATGGTTAGCACTCTCTAGATCCTTGCCACGGTTGGGAACGGAACAAAAAAGTCATTTCTCGTTGAGAAGTATGGTCTGGATCCAGCGCATATTTTCAGCTCACGAAATTCTTCCTTCCTTTCCGCCATCATGAAAGCCACTTTTGGTCAAGGAGTTGACGTGGTGTTGAACTCCCTCGCCGGCGACCTTCTGCGCAGCAGTTTTGAAGCATGTGCCGACTTTGGCCGCTTTATAGATATTGGGAAACGTGACATCCTCGATCATGGCCTCCTGGACATGTCCACGTTTGGCCGCAATGTCTCTTTTATGGCATTTGACTTGTCCAATCTCTATCTCTCCAAAAAGCACATCCATCATCAGCTCTGGAAGGCCCTGCTTACAGAAAGTCTGGATTTAGTGAGATCCAAGATTTGTGAGCCTTGTTTCCCGATCAAAACATTCGAAACATCAGAAATCACCGATGCATTCAGGCACCTTTCCTTAGGCACACGACTGGGCAAAGTCACTGTTTCATTCCAAGATCCAAACACCAATATTAGGGTAGTTCCGGAGAAGTATGAAACAGCCTTTAGTCCCCAGAAGTGCTACCTTATGGTTGGGGGCCTGGGCGGGCTAGGTCGTAGTATATCCACGTGGATGATATCTTGCGGTGCTCGACGGTTCGTATTTCTCAGTCGATCCGGTATTGATAAGCCCGAGGCGAAGGACTTGGTCGAATATTTACAGGCGCAAGGAGCCTATGTCACAGTGATCCGGGGAGATGTTTGCCGGTACGAGGATGTCGAACGGGCTGTGGAAGCTGGGGACTATCCTATTGGTGGCGTAATCCAGGCGGCTATGGCACTCGACGAGGCTATATGGAGTGATATGCCACATAGCGCATGGCAAACTACCATGGGCCCCAAGGTGCAGGGGACATGGAATCTTCACAATGCGTTGAGGCAGAATAGTCGAGACTCCCAGCTGGACTTCTTCATCATGACTTCATCTATCTCCGGAACTGTGGGCACAGCAACTGAAAGCAATTACTGCGCAGCCAACTCGTTCCTAGATGCTTTCGCCCGGTATCGAAACCATCTCGGACTACCGGCTATTTCCATCGGGTACGGGATGATTTCAGAAGTGGGATACATGCACGAGCACCCAGACATCGAAGCGCTCATGAAGCGTGGAGGTGTCCATCCCATCAATGAAGACGAACTAATCCAGATCATGAACATGGCTCTCGTAAACCAAAGACCATGCACATGGGACTCTCGCTACGATCACCTGGCGGGCAGCCACATTCTCACCGGGGTGGAATTTAACGGCCTCCAGGAGCAGCGGGAACGAGGATTCGAGGGCGACAACCATGTCCTTGCTGATCCTCGCGCTGCGTTGTTCACTGCGTCATTTGCCCGCCGCGCCGCAGGCGAGGGCGAGGGCAAGTGCGAAACGCGCAACGCGACGGCACACCTTCCTAAGAATATTGCGCGAGCGCTGCGCGAAAACCAAGATGTGGAGTCGACTCTCAATGCACTTCGTACTGTTTTGTCGACGAAGATCTCTAATCTAATCCTTCTGCCGGAAACTGACCTGAAAGCAGACCAGCCTCTAGGTGACTCTGGTCTGGATTCTATGCTGGCTGCTGAGTTTCGGACCTTTATCTTCCGCATGTTTGAAGTTGATATTCCTTTTGTGGTACTTCTGAAGAGGAGCACAACTGTGAATCTTCTGACTGATATGATTGCCCAAGGTCTACATGCAGGTACTTAGATGCTTTTCCCCCTAATGGCGAGGAAGGAATTATATAATCGACGTCGACAGTAATGGAAGTGCTGGTTTGAAACAGAGTAGAAAATAGAAGAAGAGCTAGGATATTCCTTCCAGATTTGTGAGTGCATCTAGTAGAGTAGGACTGATCTTAATTTCAAGTTCAAAGAAATGCGACCGCCGCTAGAAATTGCGCTTTGCAAAAGGTAGGACCATCTGTGAAGGCCATCTATGAGCTGGAAGTTCGAGATATCCAATTGCGATCCAGACATACTATACATCAATGCATGGATATAGACGATAAAATAACGTCATTGTGTGGGGCCATCTAGTTCATGGAATCATATGAATAACCCGTGACAAATGGACAAAACCCCCATTTTGTGCGCAGAAAAAGAGTTCAAATTGCATTGCAGTTGGATTAGAATGTACTTCAGCGCGAAAACGTTAGTATCAAATCAAAGGTAGATTTTACTGCTTGATATTCATCACTAGCATTGGTGAGTAAGCCTACGTTGGTGTATGTTCAAATATCACTCTTTTATTAAAGTTCCTGGAAACATGGCTCGGTCAGTATAACCATGCTATTCCGATCCCGAAAACAAATAGAAAAAGTCCAAAGCAATTCTAGAACCCAGAAATGTTACCTCATGATCAGAGTTCAGCACGGGCTACGTCAGTCCATCATAGTGGGTGATATCTTCCAATGTTTGGTAGTTTCATCTCTCTAGGTCAATAATGGATTAGCACTGTTAACTGCGCAAAAGATAGCAGACATGGCTCATGGTATACAGGCCACAGAGCTCAGCTCACAAAACTCCGCGAAGTTGTTCTCCAGTATTGGAATGTGGGACAGAAGCGGCGGATTGTGGTATTTGTGAGAAAAACTGTTTTTCTTTGCGCGGCCGCCCGAACATGAAGCTATTCCCAGCTATGTAAACTTCCCGTGACAGGAAGGTTCGGCTCGAGGGCTGACGTTGTAACTAATCTTCATCGAATGAACAGCCATTGATAAGTCTCAGACAGCCTATTGGATTGATACTTATCCTATCTTTGATCATCCTGTCATCATTCTGTCATGTCTAGGAGTGACGGAAACGGAAACGGAAACCTCACAAGATAGAGTTTAAAGTCATTGATATTGACACTATAGCGTTTCCTACTCTATATATACCGGGTATGCGACCTCTGAAATCGATCCCTCAGGAATCAGTCTCAAATCTCCTTGTTTTTCGTTGTCAATCACTTTCTCCTATTGCAACCAACTCAAGCTACCAGCTAGCTTTATCACTACAAGATGACTTTCGAAGTGGCATACATGCACCATCTCCCGGCCGTCGAGCCGCTCATGAAGCACGACATTGCCGATCCTCACGCTGCATTCACCGAGTCCTTTGCCCGCGATGCCATTCGCGCAATTATCTCGAAGAAGATCTCCGATCTCACCCTTCTGCCAGAAACTGAATTGGATGCAGCTCGGCCCCTGAACGAGTCTGGTGTGGGTTCCATGCTGACTGCTGAGCTTCGGACCTTTATCCTCCGCACTTTCGAGGTTGACGTCCCCTTCGACGTGCTTTTCAAGAGTGCAACTGTGAACGGCCTGACTGATATGATCGCCCGGGATCTGCAGGCTAGTGCCTAGGCACCTCGGTGTCGCGCCTTATTGTTGGGCTGACGCGACCGAAGATATTCATGAGAATTTAGTGAACGTGTTGATAATAATGTGACTGTGATTTACGACTCGATAGTAAATTTCTTCGAATCATAAACTTTGTAGGAGTGTCCTGGAAACAAGACAGAGATATAACAATCTTTTGGCCAATTGCCTACCTGGACAGCGGGGCAAAGCCTGAGGCCTGAATAATGGGGATCTCGAGGGACCCTTTCTGCTGTCACTTTCATCCTCTCACACCTTCGGTGTTTCAACCTCGCTGTCATCTCGCCCCCATTCGAAAAGGGTTCTGCTGACATGCTATTTTCGAATGCCTGTACAGCCATTGGGGTCCGTTCCTTCAGCTCGTATTCTAGAAAGTCCCGCGAACTCCTTCCTTTTCCTTTAGCGCGATGTTGGTTTTCCCCTGGCTAAGCGAGCACCATCATCGCCAATAGGCTTCATACTACGCGATCATGATCATTTCGCGTACCAAAAACTAACAAAGTCAACGAGAAGAATCTTCGCTGCTAGAAAAAAACCGGTTGAGACATTTCCAATCACGACGCTCTTTCTGGCTTAAAAACCAAAACAATGCTGATCCTTTCCTTTTCTTTGATTCAGGAACCGAAGAATGCTATCGGCCCGCTAAGTGGGGATCTTGCGAACGTGGATGACGCTCACCAACCAGCCCTAAGCCCGACGGGTGATGCCGCCACGTACTGAGGCGCAAAACTTAATCGCACAAAAATAGACAAAATTGGCCGGATGTTTCAGGAACAGATCCATCCAACTACCGACACTTGAGGGCCGGGGCCACCATGCCATTGTCTTTCCGTGGATTGCGACGCCTTCCGCTCGAAATAGCAGCCACAGTGCTCGCCAGTTACGTAACAACTTAGCTCGGCTTGGTTGGTTTTTGGTTCATGGCCTTGCTATTCCTTGTTTATCCTGGACAGCTCTGTTGAAGCTCACTTTATGCTTTGTGGCTTCACTTGTCACCCGCGGTGTCTATGACGCTGCGCAAAATATCTCCGGCAAGCGGACTGTCCAATGTCTCGCCTTATAAAAAACCAAACACAAGAGCCGCGTTATGCCTTGGTTTGTAGTGCGTACACACACCGCACAGGCTAGCCCCCGAGTTGGCCGGCGGAGTAGGGCGGATCCTATACAATTTATGGAGTCGATCTTTAGCTCGACTGCTCCGTAGGCTTACATAGGACATGTTTCTAGGCTGGTGGCGATTGCTGTCCGGTTCTGCGGAGGACCTGGACACACTTTCGGTCCAACCATAGCACTATTCCAGACCCAGATCATCACAGCCCATTGGTAAATTTGACTTGCTGATCCGCACGCTCGACTAAATCTTCTGGAAGATGAGCACTACTCCGGAGGATGATTACTTGGTCCGGCTTGGAGCCCGACTGGCAGAAATCCCAGTTGGGCTCAAGTAAACATCTCAGTGGACACCGGCATTTGTTCCTGGACGCTGTACCACCGGGCTCCAGCCTTTAAAGGACGGTTCCAGCCAAAAATCTCAATGGCCACCTAAGTCGAAAAATCCCAGGGGAGATGTCACGCAAGCATGCTCGCAATTCCATGGTGGAAGATGTGGTCATTCCTGCCCATCTCCTGGCCGCCACCACCCAAGTAAACGGTCCCTTTACAGCTCGGAGTGACGAGGCATCTGAGTCTGGACCTGGCCCTATTCATCAGGCCATCCGCACTGAGGCATTGGAACGACAGTTTGGTCAGCTCCGCCGCTCAGCCAGTGTGAACAGCTCACATCCACAAAAGCCTAAGGATACTCGCTTCCGGCGCCAGAGTGCACCCTTGAGTGTAGCTGAGATATCTACGATTGCGGAGATCGAACCAGCACAACTATCGCCCAATGGGTCTTCTCATGTCCAGTGGCAGCATGGCCAGGACGACTTCGGAGCACACAGCAGACAGCTGAGCGAGTCAATTCCGGCGACGAGGGGTGACGCGTGGCCTCTTCCACCCCGACCTCACAGTTACCGTATCTCCCGCATTGAGCCGACAGAGGAGCCTCCCCAACGGACAAACCGACACAGTATATACGATGTGTACGAGAAGGCCAAAGAAAGGCGTATCGCCCTGCAGAGAAAGTACTGGGTGCAGGTCCTCTTCGAATACACGGTGTATATCTTCCTTGCAGCCTTCATCTACTTCGTCCTGATTGGGATGCCCCTCTGGCGAGGTGCCGTGTGGTGGCTCTACTACGTAGTGCGTACCAAGTTTGTCATCCCAGGTGGCTGGGGAATCACAATCGGCATTGCTATTCTGTAGGTATCGCTCATCGTCTTTACGACAAGAGACTAATGATTTACCCTAAAGCTACGCGTTCACTCCCTTGCTACTGCTCTTCGAGAAGAACCCTCCCCCTGTGGACAGCAATTCAAAAGAGGGCGACCTTGAGGGCAATCGAAACACAGCGAAAAGTACAGCCCTTCTCATTCCCTGCTATAAATCTGCCAACATTATTGGCCCGACCCTCGACGCGGCGCTACACATCTTTCCGCCTGAAAACATATTCGTCATTGCGAACGGCAACTCCCCAGAGCCATTAGACAACACTGAAGAAGTGTGCCGCCCATACGGCGTAAACCACCTTTGGTGTCCAGTTGGAAGCAAGATTATCGCGCAGTTTGTTGGTTGCTACGCGGCTAAAGAGTTTCCCCATGTTCTCCTGATCGACGACGACTGCGCACTGCCTCCGAACTTTCCTGTCGTTAGTGACCGACTCAAAGGCCGTGTACAATGTATCGGATATACCATCAAGAGTGTTGGGCCCGAGTCCTCACGCGGCACCTTATGCCAGCAGGCACAGGACCTCGAGTACAAGATATCAGGCCTTCAGCGTGCATTCGCCGGTCTTTTAGGCAGCGCAACATTTCCGCATGGAGCCATCTCTTTATGGAAGACCGACTTCCTGAAGCAGACCTTCCACGACCATCCGGGTTTCTCTGTGTCTGAAGATTGGTTTTTCGGTGATAGCTGTCGTCGGCTAGGCGGCCGTATCAAGATGTGCTCTGCTGTTTTTGTTGAGACAGAGACCCCATCCGCCGTCTTCTTCAGTTCAGGCGGCTCCCGAGGAGGATTCGGCGAGATGACCATCTTCAAACAGAGATTCATGCGCTGGAACTTTTTCTTTGTCAACGGCATGTGGTACAATATGAAATATATCTTATGCAGCTGGAATCTCGGGTTCTGGGAGCTGGGCGCGAAGCTGTTTGTTTTTCAAGAGGTAGGTTCTACATCCGCCGAGCTGTGCAATGGCACAAGCAACAAGACCTTATGCTTACTAAAACCAGGTTTACGAAACCCTACTATACCTCCTCGCTCCCTTCGTCCTACCGATCTCACTCGTGGTCCAACCAGCATTCTGCGGCATCATGTTGGGCGTCACCAACGGCTTGTACTTTCTAAACGTCGTCATCTTCAACCTGGTACATCTACGCCTGAAGAAGGAAGCTGTCTCCTGGAAATGCTTGCTCCTTTACTATATGCCCTACAAGATTGTCCTCTTCATCATCAACGTCGTCAGCTGTTACTGGTCCCTCTTCAAGTACGCCCGGTACTTCGCCACGAGACACCCCAAAGTCATCGAGGATGACAAGGCTGTGGAGGTAGTACTGCGTCTAGAAGATACCACTAATAATGATCCCAAGCCAACGAACAAGGCACCGGGTCTTGGTCGGAGTTTCTCCGTGACTAAGGTCCGGGCAAGGAAGACTAGCAACGCGGGCTCAAAACCGGCCGGGCCTGGAGGTGTTTCTGTTGCTGGTGCTGAGGGCTCTTGGATTTGATCGAAGTTGATTGCTGCTTTCTCCTGTATATATTTAGAATAACCTCACAGCAGTGGACAAGTCTTGCAGAGCTACGAAAGATTTGCGGTTGAATACCATGTCCGTGATATAATCGCACATTATGCACGATACTCGAAGCTTGAAAGGGATTTCAACTTCGGCAATAGAGTCAGGTTCGATAACCCCGGGAATGCCCTGGACGAAGGAGGAGCTGGTACACCAGAAGAACCCCATTCTAGTTCCCACCGATCCCGGCCCGACCAAATCTGTATCCATCAAGTTGACGACATACAATCCACCGCATAAGTCCTCCGTCAAGAACTTGTGAGTTGGACTTTGGGACTTATTCCCTGCATGGAGCAGTGAGATCCGGCACATGCTGCTCATATTATGGTCCAGTAAGGAGCGCGTGGCCGGCATCAAGAACTCACTATGGGGAAATGGTGGCAAAGGATCGATATGATTGCGTCTCGGTTAATCTGCTGTCTTGACCTACCAACTTCAGCGCCATCGTCATACCCCAAACACATACTTAGAATGTGGTGGAACGCGCTACTAACGCTAGCGTATGCACGTCGATTCGTAGCCCGTTCTAAACCCAGGGTTGAGAATCCAATGACATGCAGGATGGAAAGGGGAAGCTGGGCTCAGTCCTCTAGCTTCATAGGCGAACAGGTGCAGGGGTGTCTACCAATACAATCTGTTTACGTGGTTCCTGCCACAGCAAGTGTCACTATCCTCCCCGCTTTTACTTCGCAACCATCGCTTCTGCTCATGCTCGACGGGCTTTCATCTTCATATTCACGAAAGAAAAAACTTGTTTCATCAGAAGACTTCTACGTCAATACATCAGCCTTTTACTCGTTCATCTTGCAATATGGACACTCAAGATGTCTCTCAAGCACCGGAATACCTGCCATACCTACAGAAACAGAAGCGAATTCTCCAAAATGCGCAACTCCACCGGGGCAAGGCTCTCAAGCCCACCAAGTCTCGCGACGAAATCATAATGGAGTTTATGTTTTGTCGGATGATGTCTAGTAATAAACTTGCTAACGACTATGAGATTCGCTCGTCCTTTGTGCCTCCAGCCTACCCGCCCTCTGTTGCTGCTTTGAGTACCCTGAAACCCGTACTCATCAGAGATCTTACTCTCGAAACCCATCATCGTGGATTTTACATTCTGCTTAGAGCAGTCACACCGACAGATAGAATGACTGCGGTGATGGTGGTAGTAGAAGATGAAAGAGGGGATGTTCTCATGTTACAAGTATACAATCAGGAGGAAGAGCTCTCGACCGATGGCCGTCTCGTCGAAGGGACAGTGATACTTGTGAAGGAACCTTACTTGAAGATCATGGCTGATGGTAATTACGGAATTCGAGTCGACCATCTCTCTGACATTAGATTTCTCCCAAGCCATGACCCTTTAGTACCCGTGTCATGGGGAGGTCGACGCGGAATGAATCAAACGGCCAGCTATTGCAAAACAAAAGGCAACGACCATTTCAACAAGGGTCAGTACTATCTTGCTATTGATTGGTAAGCATCCACGGAAGAAGAACCTAAAGAGGGGAGCTGATCAAAATCTAGGTACTCCAAGGCTCTGGATACCTCCCCAACAACCGATGAAGCCCTCATAATCAGGCTCAACCGCGCTCTTACTTATCTCAAGATTCACCAATTTGACGCGGCCCTTTATGACCTCAAAACTGTCTTATCAGACCAGGAATCTTCCGAAAAAGCCCTCTTTCGCAAATCTCAGGCTCTTTACCATCTCGCCAGATTTGAAGAATCCTGCAAAGTCCACCAAGTGCTCTTTGCCACATTTCCGAATAACACCACCGCTAAACTCGAGTTTAATCGCGCCACTACACGACTTGCAGAACAGCGAACTGGGAAATACCCTTTCAAGCACCTGCAACGAGAGGCAAAGAAACGTTGCCCGCCGCTCCTTGATCGCGGAACCTATATCGGACCCGTGTCTGTCAGGCCAACGGAGTCTCGCGGTCGAGGCTTATTCACGACAGAGGCTGTTCGAGCCGGTGATCTATTATTTTGCGAGAAAGCCTTTGCGCATGCATTTCATGACGAAGTTGCCGGTGCTTCAGGCAGCCTCTCGATCTTGATGAACCCGGAAACAAACACGATCACAATAGGTACTCAGGCGGACCTTATCGTTTTAATCGCACAGAAACTATACAAAAACCCGTCGCTTAGGTCGAAGTTCACTGACCTTTATCACGGCTCGTACCATCCTGTTGAGGTCGCAGAAGTTGACGGTACACCTGTCGTAGACACGTGAGTTCTAAACACTGGATACATTCTATCTTAACGGAAGAGCTAACAACTTTTAGCTTTCTCATCGAGCGTATAATGTCACTCAACTGCTTCGGTTGCCCCCTCTCCTCCCGCGAGTCCCACCTGCGCACTATGAAAGAGGCCGGATCACAGTCAGAACCCTCTGAGAACAAGAAATTCCACTCCTGCGGTGTCTGGCCTCTAGCATCCTACATCAACCATTCCTGCTACAGCAATGTTCGCCGCTCATTCATTGGTGATATGATGATCGTCCGTGCTACCCAGGATCTCCCTGCGAATACCGAGCTTTTTTTCTGGTACACACACCCCTCGGACAGCACTTCCAAGGCGAACCAACCCAATCTAAAACACTGGGGCTTCAAGTGCAACTGCATGATCTGTCAAGATTCCACCGAGACAGAGGAGAGTGATCTGATGAAGCGAAGGAGGCTCACAGCGGACTTGGTGAATGCTTTTCAGGCCCTGAGCAAGCCCCGCAAGCCGAAGTCAGCTATGGCTCGAATTGAGGAACTTATTTCTAAACTTGAGGAGACGTATCGCAAGCCAGCCGTTCAAGCCCCACGTCTCGGTATCTGGAAGGCGTATTTGGGTGTAGCGGAGGCCCACGCCGCGCAGGGTGTCTTAGCGAAGACTGTTGAGTTTGCACTGAAGACTTTAGAGTCACTTGGGTATGTGCTTGAAGGCGGGGGGGTCCCGTATACTCCTGGTGCGCCGCTACACGTTATGAAATGGGGTCTGATGATGGATGGACTTGTTAGATGTTGGATGATTCTTTGCAGAGCGTATTGCGATTTAGCTCCTGAACTAGCAAGTCAAGCAGAGGACTATGCTAGGATCACCTATAGGATATGCGTTGGTGAGGATGAGACTTTTGCGGATACGTACAGTCGATTCTCAAAGGGGACAGATGGGCTTCTTGATGGGGTGGAATAGAAGTAGGAAAGTATATAGAATCGACTATTAACGTGGGAAATGTAGTTATTTGTTTGCTTCTGCTCCGACTTGTAAGGCGCCAACAGAGGGATTTCTCTGAGCATTCAACAAAGCTCATCAAAATGTGGCTTGTGCCTCCTTTACACATTCCCAGGCTATTTCTGTGAAGTGTACACAAGCCCACCCTACTGAGCATATTCCCTATGATAGAATTTGGCCCCTATCACCTTAGATCTGCACAGAAGTGAACGGGAATAAGGTGCTGCTATTCATTGCCAGAATGCTATTAACACCCTGCACTAGCCATAAAGATATTGACATGTCAGGAAATATCGCCTCCACGCTTGCAGTGAACATCGTGGGAAATCCCAAGCTGTTGGATTATGCCCAGGGACTATTCCGGCGCTCGAACGGAACAACCCACAAAGATTAGTTATATTCAATATGCACTTCCGCCTATTTCAAGGGGCCTCGTACCTTGTACTCATGCCCTGATCTTATCCAGGTAGGAATCATGGTTTCCTGAACAGCAAGCAAAGACTTACAGGCTTTTTCTTCAAGATCGAATGATCATGAATCATTTTCAATTCCATCTATATCTGAAGGGAATCAACCAGCGATGTACACGGCGCACCTTAGCCCCTTCACTCCCTCTTCCCTAGGGAAAGCCACACACCTTCAACCCAAATCTATAGTACATATACCCCAATGTCGCTTTCAATCTTCCTAGATGAAGCAACGAAGTACCATTTGCAATTCATAACAAAAACAGATTCAATAAGCAGGACCGGCAATTGAATGTCGAAGACAACCATTATAAAGATGCAGCCAACCTCCTTCGCTCATCTTTATCTTCCGTACATTCTTTTGGTCTCAATTCTACATACCCAATCTTAGTTGGAACTATTTAACGGATGACTGGTCCTCTATAATCTAATATCATTTCATGAGACAGCGCACTGCAAGATCTTATGTTCTTCGAATTCTTCAAAGAGATAGAGCCATTCCTATCAACTGAACAGACTCTTGGATTCTTCCTCGGGGGACGTCAGAGCTCGCGCAAGCTCTTCACTATGTTGGGGAGGACAGATAGTTGAATACATGCACGATGCATTAGCTATTTACTCAATACACTTCGTCTCATGTTTCCATCGTGGTAAGTACACATGAGGTATGTCTTCCTGTCCTGCTTGCTAAGACTATAATATAGATTCGATAACTGTAGCAATGATGGCCGATATCCTCTGCCACACTCATACCCTTTTACCTCAACTTGGGGACGATTTTTTAGAGGTTTCAATGTCCTTCAGATGTTCCCCGGAACAACGCACTGGTTTCTTTAACAACGATGTCTCCTAGAGACGATCGTTGGACAACGGAGCAGTGCAAAAGTTGATGAGCGACACTACGAGCAGTAGCAAAGGCAATAGCTACTATGGTCACAATGTTATACATCTTAATCTTCTCGGAACGAGAAAGCGTGGCTGGACGCCTTTGAAATCGATTGTCTCCAAGATACAAGCACTGGACAATGGAGCAGTGCAAAAGCTGATAGAAGACACAAAGGACACTAGCAAAGAAGCCATATACTATGGCTACAACCTTGCCAATGCCACATTGGGGCGTTCCTCAACTTTTGCATATGGAGACATCAAACAACTAAAGCTTCCATATCCGTGGTTCATGTCACCCATTCCGTATCCAACGAATACGGAGAGGGAGTACAAGTACTATAAGTCCACTGAAAAGGCTCACGCGGCAGCTAATAGGAAATAGAAGAAAAGCCTGGTGTCAATCCATAACGTATGGAGATATAAAAGAGCCAGAGCTCACCTAACCATGGGTGAAGGCACCCAACCCATGTCTACAAAGGAAGCAGAGAGAGGACTATGTGGTTCACGCCGCTGTCAACGAGGCTCATAGGGCAGTAAAGAGGAAGTTAGGAAAGAATATGAACCTGTCCCATGTCTCAAGGAACTAGGTATAGGAGGACCACGATATATCTCTAGGTTAAACACTGCCGGCCAAATGACGTCGTTGTTTTCACGCCATGCAACGGAACGAAGACTAATAGCCAGTCAACGATCATCTACGACTACCTTGTTCCACCTACCCCTCACAGCATCGACCGTGTCGATAACCCTAACTGACCGAATACAGGCACAGGCATCCTCATACATCGAACCATGTACCACGAGGTACCATACTGGGCTCTTCCGGATCTTATGGCGCTCTTTATGAGAGAAGCCGGTCTCGTTCACTGCCTATGTCAAGCCTACGGACCTTGCATTAGGGCGTTGGTCGAGCTTTACGTATGGGGACATACAAGAACCAGGACTCGCACAATAACTACCGGGTTAGTCTGAGGACCCAGTACTTCTGGTAATAACCATGAATACGATAGTATACGGATGAAAAATCGTCGAATCATTCCAAATCTGCGAGGCAGCCGTCGTTTTCTTCGGTACAACCGCGGATGGACCAGGCTACCTTGGCGTTTCGCGATGTGTCTCATCGTCAGGGTTGTCCAATGGTACAAGGCAACACGAACAGCGCGGCTGTTACGTGGGCTCGAAGACCAGTATGTAAAGGGTAACTCCACCGCCGTTCTGACGAGATCTGGTATGGTTGTATGATCTAAACGCCAGAAATGGCAGTGATGTGTGGAGCTCAATGCGAGGCTGAAAACCTTCAGTGCCTCTCTACTAGATACCCTTGTTCGAGAAAGATTGTTTCCTTTTCCACTTCCCCAACACTGCTTGCCTCATCATTCAGTGTTGCCATACCTTTCACTCATTACCATGCCCGTTCCGGATTTAAATTGAAATGCGGGAGTCGTCATTTTAAGAAATATCAAGAACGACATGGCTCGCTCCTAACCCAGAGGACACTACATTTCCCCTTGGTACTGGACCCGAAGGTTACAGAGATTTAAAAACAGTCTCAGCAGGTTACCAGGAAGACTAGTAAAAAAGCCATTATTTTGGACTCAACCTGAAGAAGGCACAGAGAGGGCCCAGCAGCAGAAAGCTGTGAATAAGCGTAGGGGCTGCCGCAGCAAGAGGCATGGGTTTCTCATGGTTCTATTGCAATATCAGCTTCTTTAAATCCAGTTCGCGCATAGAAAGCAGAAGGATCCTTCGTCAAATTGATTATTAGTAGGTTTCTTGAACTGAAGAATGGGTTGTGGGGAAATAGTGACAGTAAACGTGCAGCCAAACACACAGCGACAGCGGTAGGGGAAGACACGGTGGAGCAGCAGCAGCACAGCATAGATCGATAAGGCATCCAAGCATTTCCGATCTGCGCCTTGATCCACCAGCACATTCCATCATTCAATGACAATAGAGCGGACAATAACTCAACGCATCATTCCATCAAACGAAGAGAATAGACATTTTATTGTTCAGGTACAAAAGTCAGTACCCAGTGTCTCACCTCCTCCACGCTGATTCGCGAATGCCAGCATCGAGCCTTGCTGTCGATCGCATCCCATCATCCCAGCCACCGATTAATCCCCAAAGCCCACCGTCAATGCGCTCCGCCCCATCACTTCGTCTTTTCTTCTTCTTTTCATCTACATTCCCTGTCTCTTAGCTATTTCCTTCCTTATTGTGAGGTCATTATCCAGCTACATCCATGTCTACACTACCCTTCCCTCGATGAAACATTTCCACGACCACCACATCAGTCTACAACTACTACTGGATCTACCCGCCAGATCCCCCGCCTCCACTTTAATCTTCATCTCCACCTCCACCATCAACAAACCACAATGACTCCAATCCCGATCCCACGAATACCACCACCACCAGATCTCAACCTCCTCATTCCACCTCCATTTTCAGAAAAACCCCAACCATCCTTTCTATCCCTCCGAAGCATCATCCCCTCCACCCTCCTCAAACGCTCCTCCGCCGCCTTCATCCCCGGAACCTATAACAGTCACGGCCTCTCACCCGGTGCCGTCGCCGGCGTCATCATCGGCAGCGTCCTAGGCTTCATCTTCCTCCTATACTTAATATTCCTCGCCTTGGGTTCCGGACGACGCTTCTCTAGCGAACCCAGTACCGCGACGTCGGCAACAATGTCGGAGGTGGTGGTGGAGGAAGAGGGAAGCTCGATTTCGCGACGACCACCACGGCGTCGGCGGCGCGAAGTTGTCGAGGAGATCGTTGATAGCGGCGGAAGTCGGCGGAGTCGCAGGTCAAGAGCCAGTCGGGGGAGAGATTCGCGCATTGTCGTGGAAGAGTCGGTTACATCGTCTGGTCCGTCGAATGTGGTTGAGGTGGAGGAGGAACATTCCAGTGTGGAGGGGCCGGGAGGAAGTGGGCGGAGGAGACGCAGTCGGCCGGGTCATTATCGGGCTGTGGATCCGTTGGCGTATGGGGGGTTGACGGAGGATGAGAGTTTGAGGTCTTAGCCGAGGACCTGGGTAGCGGGTGAAGTTGATGTCGAGTGATTGCTATTGTGTTTTGTTATATAAGGCTGTCGTTGCGATTTGGTCCTGTCCTTCGACGATGATTTGATACCCTGCCCTGTGATGTTTCATGATTAGGTTTAATTTGCGAGTCAGTTTTGCACGAAAAAGAACGCATACACGAACGGAACTAGAAATGAATAATGTTAATTACTACCGATGTAAATATGATTGGATTTCAACGAAAGTGACCGACTCGAGTAGTCGTCCAAAGACCATGCGCCGTTAAGCGCCGACGCCAGTCAAACCTGACCTGACCTGACTGACCCGACTTGAAAATCACCCAAATATAGAAACACAGACAAACCCCGCGCGAACCGTGCTCCGTGAATCCTTGCGCCCAACCAAAGAATGGCAATACAGTATCAGTAGTAGTCAATCGCATCCAATCTAGACGAGAAGAGAACGCAGGCACCAAATCCAAACACAATCAAAAGGTCACTGAAAGCAGCAGGTTTCTCAGAACAGGATATCCAAGCAGCAACAGCAGGCCAATGCGGCCATTATACCCGCGCAGATACCACCCCCGGAGGATCCGCCCCGGTCCTGTCCGGCATAGTAACCTTGTTGCTGCTGCGGCGGGGGATAGTACATCGGCTGGCCTTGAGGCGGAGGAGAACCATAGTATCCTTGCTGCGGCGGAGGACCGTAGCCCTGGGGCGGATATCCCTGGTTGTAACCTTGTTGAGGGTAACCGCCCTGGTTGTAGTAGTCTTGCGATGCGCCTTGGTGGTAGGGACCGGCGTCGTGGGTGGGAGGAGGGTAGGACGGAGGAGGCTGGTCCTGTTGTTCAATTATCGGTCAGTGGTGGAGTGAGACGTGGTGAAGAGGTTTGACTCAACGTACAGGTTTGTTGTAAGACATCTTTAATAAGGAGACAGTCGCAAGTCTTGCGGACGCAATCAGTAGTTATGCGTTCTTAGTTCCGGTAAGGAATGCCTGTCGGCGCAGTTTAGGCTTCTGGTAGAAATGAGAGTCTTCTCTATGATGCGGAATGTGCGGAGAGAAGAAGAGGGGGAGGTGATGATGATGTGAGGAGAAAAAGTCGGGAAAAGAGACGAAGAGAAGCGCCGAGAGAAACCAACGATTGATGGCAGCTTGGCGAGTGGTCCGGATTAGGCAACCGGCTATGTCGGTCTACGCGGGCGGAACTGAGATGTTGGGGAGGACAAAGATGTCGTGCAGATGCCAACTACTTAGCTTATGTGTCTACAGTCTCGTGGTGCCATACGAAACAAACAAACATTGGAATGTCTCTGTCACACAGCGTCTTGTTTCATCATTGTTGCGGATGAAGCGTAGGCTGCCCTGAACGTGACTTCGCTACCAAATCGGTGGTTGGGGAAAGAGGGGAAAGCATGACGAATATCTTATCTTGGCGTGGTGGCTGATGGTGGCTGGGTTGGTTGCCATTTTTAGTATTCACTTGGCTAATTCTGCTCGATATAATAGCAATCATATGGAGTAGAAGGAGTACGTTATAAGAACCCCCGATGGTCTAGTTGGTTATGGCGTTCGGCTGTAATGGTAATTATTGTAACCGAAAAATCACCAGTTCGATTCTGGTTCGGGGGATCATCTTTTTTAGTTTCCTTTTTTTTTTAATCATCTACAATAGATGGACCCTTCATTTAGGTACCGTGTACCGACTTTTCTAATTCTTTACCTGCTGCACGTAGACACTGAACTACTACTACTTGACTCCTAGTATTTTAATCTTGCTGGGCTCTGGAATAACAGTGGTGTGTGTGCCAATAATGATGTTCAAAAGACCCCCTAGTATATACATATATTGAAGAGCAAGCAGGAATTTCCGAACAAACTGAAACAGCATAATTTCATACTTGTGGTATTGAAGTATTGAATTCGAGACCCAGGTACATTTGATCAATATGTCTGGTCCATAACCACCCAATGTGGCCGATGAGAACTATATCCGTTCTTTCCAACATGGGCCAGCTGGTGAGGTGCCCAAGTACCTCCTGCATGTTTAGCGCCAATGATGCCACATTGAGGGCCACTCAGCAGTCACCACATTAATCCGAGGCTGAGCTGAGTGCTTGGTTCTTATCACATTATAAGTACATAACGGACGTCTCGAAATCTTTCTTCTTTCAGTTGTGTGAGCTGAGAATATCTAATCCAGCGCTCTGTTACTAATCAATATTCTATTACAACTACACTACAGAACTTCGCAAGATCTTGTAGTATCTCAAAATACCACTGTGCAAGACTGGTTGTCTTGTGATGTTGCCTGGAGGCCTCAAGGAAGGCAGTTATGCAGAGGAAGTGAGAAATGAGGCAGACAATTGAAAACCCGAAAAGAACGATAAGGATAAGTTCATAAACAGCTCTCCCAGCAGCGACGACGCTCACAATGTTAGTTAAACCATGAAGATGTGACAATATAACAAAATACCTGCTATTGATGACAGGACTATTAGTGATACTGGTGCATATCATAGACACTAAATTACTGACAAGGCAGCTTTTATCTATAAAGCTCTCTGATAAAGACCTATAATAATCTTAAGAATGACTCTAAGCAGGCAGAGTACATCTTAAGATAAGACGAGATTCTTCGAAGAGTAATTTTGAACCAATCCACAGCCGAGAAAGCGGTCGAAACAAACGAGTCCTTTCAACATTTGGAGAAGAGCAAAAGAAAAAGGTGGTCGAAGAAGGCCTTGCCAGAATTGGAAAATATAAGAAAGCTATTGAGCATTCGGAGAGTACTATTAATGTGATCAAGCAGGTCAAAGCCAAATTTGATATTCCCTCTGAAAAAAGTCTCCCTAACTGCACTGCCATGGGCCGTGATTTCATCAAGCGTGGATGTAAGTTCACTAACCGGAAAGCATTAGCATTTATCCTCCAATATCTGCAGATTGAGCTTTCTATGAGCAAAGAAAAGGGATGAAGTCTTGGAACTTGCCATTCTCATACTAGTGCAACACACAGATCAGAGATCTCCATCCAGGACAGTTGGGTAGTCTTGGGAAAGTAGAAAAGCATATTATTGCCCCCGGGCTATCAGCCTTCGAACCTGGAGAAAAGCTGGGCTTCTCAGAATAACATACTTTTGGTTGGGCTAGAATCTGGTGATTTTTATTCCATTCAGTTCAATCCCAATGAAATGTCAGCTGGGCAATTGTAACACAAAAATACCGAGGAAATCTTTACGGAAGCTCTGATGGATATACTGATAATGGATATTCTGATAGAGATGCTTCCTGAGCTTAGTGATTCCGAGATCCTAGGTGCTCGTTGGAAATGAGCTTCAGACACCAGTCCTATCAGCATGCGTGTACACCATCATACCACAGCCCTTAATGAGTCTTGTAGTCTCTCGTTTCATGAGAATGAGGAAACAAATCGTTTGTTCACGCCTTGGTTTTGTAATCCTCGTAATCACTGATCTATATTAAGTTCGGGTGTGTTACTCTTGCATGACATTAAACTCACGCTTCACTAATAGGCAGGTGACTGAAAGATTAGTATCGCTATAACATCTAGCACTCGTACTTAAGAAGTTGCTTGTTGGTGGTGTATAACCAGATCAATGTTCAGTAAATATGCATTTTCAGTCAGCCAGCTTGTGTGCTGTTTTATTGCCGTTGTAGGGAGTGGTAATCGATTCCTACTTGGCCCACTAAGGGTGACACTTCGACAGCACAGTTGATGGTATGGAACAAAACCAATCTGTATCTATCTGTCAACATCCAACACATTCTTTCTAGATTCCTTATGTGGTTCAGTCTCCACCTCCTCCATCTACTTCTACTCTACTGCAACTTTAGCGATCGCTACAATTGTCGCTTCTAGGTGCCTTCCACTCCTTAGTTCGGTCGACAAGTCTCACTTTTCCCCGATCAGACTGCGTCAAGCATTCACCTTCCGAAAGGTGCTAGGACCACCCCACGGATGGTGGGTCACTCATCATTCAGCCCAATCTGAAACTGCGCCGAAGGTAATATGGATCAAGCACACAGGAACTAATTATTCGCGAGCCGACGAGGGTCTGGAGTCTACTTTGCACGCTAAAACGGCACCGCCATAGCAGCCTAATTGAAGGCATTCGTCATCTACGTCGACACGTAAGTACGCCATTTTCGAGAACGGTGGGCTCATCCAAGAGAATAATTTATCAAATAGGGGTTCACAGTGTTGGTTAGCCTTTTTTGCTGAGAAATCAGCCCTGTCTGCTACACAATGAGCGGCCACGCTTCATCTCCGTCGAAGCTCTGAACATCGATACACTGTAGAGGGTTTAGATGTGGGTTGGCAGTCAAGACAAGCCTTATGCCCATGTGCGGTGCCTTTTTTTCGTGCTGCACGCAAACAATCAATGCTCGAGACAGCCGTGGATGTGTTCTGGCAACAGGCTTGCCCGGGTCTGTCGGCTACGGAGCATACGTATGCCCCGGACAACCCTGAACTTTTCGAAGGTCACCCAGACCCTTAGAATGTCCACCGAGTCGAATAAGGGTCCGTATCAGTGCATTATGGGACTTTACACGGTGACTCGGTCCAAGTACAAGTTCAATTCTGGCACCTCTTCCCCGCCGAGCAATAGGAACATCAAAAGCAAATTATCCGACTCCGAACGGAGTACACATACTCAGGGAACGATACACATTTGATCACATCACACTCAATAGACATGCCGTTTATCCCGCTTCCAATTTTTTGCTGTGGCACAAACCCCGCGCAGCCTTGTTGGCCAGCCGCTCATTCGTGGCTTGCGCGCTAACTCATGGCCGCATTGCGTAAGCGCTCCACCGAGTATGTGTGGCATCGATATCAACATATCAACATCTTTTCTACCGTTTGAACATGCATGAGCTGTTATGCTTAATAGCCATTTTATTTGCCGGGACTAGTCGTGCACGAGTCAGATTTCGAAACCTGGTAGAAAGACGCAACGCATCCATCTTGGCTTGCGGATCCCATCCAACTACAGCGCTTTCCCTCACTATACTAGTTTCCCTTACTATTCTCGGCGAGCCCTACGGCTGCCGGCCATAACGGTTGGTTTATCTATTTTGAGCCGAATAAGCGCTTACGTATGTCTTCATTTTTTTGGCATGACCCCTTCGGGTCGATCAAGTCATTGCAACAGCTGGGCGCCGCAGGGGACCGGTCAACAAACCAATGGATAAGCTTTGGTATGAATCCTGATGCTTTTACTTTGCACTAGCTGACTTTTTCTGTCTTAAGGGGCTCCATGATACCCTGGCGATCTAAGCCTATTGTATAGCTTGCCAGCTCATTACTTGAATAAGATGGAGTGCGGACCCAGAAGGGTCCTTACTTTTCCAACACAGTTTCCATGCGCCGTGTGGACGTCACAACATGTCCTACAGAAACTTATCCAGTTTAGACGTCTCGGATAGGGCGAATCTCCCCGATTACGAGTTACACAATGTCCCTGTTGCACCGCCGTATACAGCCACTGCATCGGCTCCCGCAGCTGCAGGAGCAGGAGCAGGAGCAGCAGAAGCAGCACAGAAAGCCAGTGTTGCAAAAGGCGCCGGAGGACCGTGGTATGACCCGCGCTCGTGGTCACTGTTAACGAAGTTGCTCGTCGCCGGAGGTGTTGTGGTTGTCATTGTTGCGCTCGTCGTGGGAATCTACGAGGGCACGAAATCATCCTCATATCCAGATTACTCTGCACTGAGTTATAAGCTCGCAGATACATACTCGGGCTCTTCATTCTTTGACGAGTTCGAATACTACACAGCCGCCGATACGACAGACGGATTCGTAGAGTATGTGCATATCATCCACACACACCTCACTCCATATACGCAAAGCAAAGAACTCAACTAACCCTATCCCAGCTACGTCGACAGCTCCACCGC